CGTCCATCGAGCATAATCACGATGTGCAATGTAACTATCAATAGGCATGCTGTCCCTGCTAAATACGTATTGGGATGGTGTTAACCGTCATCATTGGTGGCTCATATCTGTGAATGACTCAAAAACCCATCACAGCGGAGAAATTAGTGTCGGCAGAAAAAAATGCATGGCAAATATATTTTAAAAGCTCTCAGCAATACACATTATGTGAAACCACCCGTTTGGAGGAACTGCATTGTGGTAATTTTGTCTTAGGCCACCACAAATTAATTGGGAAAATTAGAATAACCGACTAGGCAGCAGTGACAAACAGGCACAACGCGAGACAAGTTTCGCCCTCAGTTTCGCCCTCACTTGTCAGTAGAGTCGTCCATATGGAATGCTGCAAGATGCTTCAGGGAGCTTTGATGTGCGGAAGGCATGGCTTTACACACGACGATCAGGAGGAGAAAAGGGGGGTGGAATGTATATAAGGCACAGTTGCCAAACTGCGATTCAAGCGCCAAGCACGTGAATCGACTTTTGACGTTCTCTGGTCTGACACTGGTGAGACTAGGTCATAAAGAAGGCTTTCTCTGATGTAGGCCAATCAGTTTCAAAGACAATGCATATATTATAAGAGCATGTTTTGTTTGCAAGTTCACCACAAGTACGTGCGGTTAATGCAGACTTGATTCCTTGCAAAAGGTTTATATTTGGTGTTTGAACATTTTAACACTTGTTTTATTGTCAAAAAGGGTAAAGCCTATTCTTAGTTTTCATATGTATGTTGTATTTATGTACCGTGTGTGTTGAACTTATTTCGCACCGTACATAACCAACCGTGCTAATCCAAGGTTCGGGGTAAGGACAACAAACTAAACACAAAAAGCACTTCTAAATAAATACGTTTTCAACTGAACGTGTGTACTTTCTCATAACAACTTCTATGTTTTTTATCCATATATTGACCGACAGCTAATTTGAATGAAATGTTCCCCCCCCCCCCCCCCACCAATATACATTATTGAGGAGATTAATAAATTGCAATTTATATGTTTTGCGTTCGATTGTTTGGTTAGTTTTTCGACTGCAACACGAACTTTGCTCACTGTATAGTAATCCGAAGATGCGGCCTTAACTCGCCTTGACACTGGCCTCGACTTTAAGGGCTCCAAACCTTGGCCTCAACTTGGCTTTGCGGGTCACGGCCTTGAATCCAAGACTGCATAATTTCTAAGTGTTTTAATTTTGTACCGTGCATTCAATTTAGTTTTATAGTAACTGGAATTTCAACCACTGGATTTCTGAATGCTGATTTTTTTTTGGTTTTTAAATGTCATTTAGTTCAAATTCTTTAGGGGGTTATGTAATATTTAAAATATGATGCGTGAATGAGCAACGTTCGGGAAATGCTGCATTGGAGTAATAATTATTCGCATGTAAGCTTACAAATTCTGCCTTAATATGGCACGAAGCGGTTTATCCAAAGGACGCCTACTGACCATCGACTTTTCACAAAGTGCGCCTATTTTATCGACCATAGTGGCATGATGGGTTGAAGCGACTCCCAATTAGGGATATCAACTCACGAACGTTTCACTGTAGGTCCAGGGTTCTACCCACGGTGTCACTCAGTCGGATGGCACATTACGTACGCGCACATGAACATTTCAAAGACAATGTAAATGTTATTGGCGCTGACATTTCTTTTATTAAAAAAAAACTGGTTTGTCTGCAGTGACGTATTTATATTTATTGAGGAAAAAATGAATAAATGTCACAGAGGTCAGGGTTTTATTCTTGTTCTAAACAGTACAACAGGTCACAACACATATCACACAAATATTTGAGGTGTGTGCATTTCCTTCTGCTGTATGCGATAAAAATTTAACACAAATAATACTTATCTTACCTACAACGTGGCCAGTCAATAACTAGGCACACGACCAATAAAAGTCAATGTTCCCATGAAAGTGTAGTGACGTAAATGGTGTCACTATGGTGTTAGCGCCAGGCACTGTCATAAGAATGCTACTGTGCGTCTGGAACTTCTCTCTGGGGCTAGAGTGAGCGCGGCATGCGAACGGGCCCGAGAGGGGCATACTCCTGGTGACGGCCTGAGAGAGGGCAAGTCAGGACATGGTAGTCTGAGTGAACCCTAGAGTGCACGTGACTGGGACAGGGCAGTAAAGGGGGCCCTAGGGGGGCTTGAGGGACACGTGATGCTCGATCGAGGTCCTTCGGGAAAGGTCTCGAAGGGGACGTGGCCGAAGGCGGAGCGAGGCCACGCTCAGGAGCATAAAGGGGCAGTCCCGAAAGCGTTCTTGGCTCGTCTGTGGAATCAAGCCTGGGTACCGCATCTCGTCGGTCTTCGGTTCTCGTCACGCTCGGCGTCGTGGGTCAGGCAGGCGTCGCTGGCCTGACTCGGTTATCTAGTAACCCCGTTAAAGTGGATGAAGTGTACGTTTGGGTCGTTAAATAAACGTGGTGCCTCCGACTTCAAGTGTGTGCCTCCATAGAACAACACTACAAAAGTATAGAGTAGTTTTGCATGTTTATCTTCCATAGGTGAAGTGGTCATAGTTTTGCTATATGTGTAATTTGTTATTTGCATTCATCCATGCTCCCACAACCAAAAACGTCAACAAATTGCATGTATACACTGGTATCGAGATAGAATGGCTACACTGAGGTTATATTAGCATAGTTCATAGCCTCTTGTAATTTCACAGCTATATGTAGACCTTCCCACTTCTTGTCTGTCTAAGAGTTATTTGTACACAATAAATTTAATTAGAAAAACATATAATCGGCGTATGTCGTGAATAGCTGATTTCCACACACAGTTGGTGCATGTAGTTAAATAAACTATTCGAATCCATGACTCGATGCATCATTATACGTGCCCTAAAACAAATCTAGTTTTTACATCACGTTAAAAAAGGCACTGAAGTGGCACCGAAAACTTTCAAAGTTTAGTTTTTTGTTATCACACAGATTCAAACTCGAGTCTGGCAGCCCGTGGCGTGTGCCTCAGGCCATGTGTGTGCGCAATATGACCGACGTGTGGTTTTCGGATTTTGCATCCCCCGTTTATAAATTGCATTGTGTGGCCTCGCTCGCTGTGCGAGACAATGCAAGACGGCATGTAGTCCATCCGCCCGGACCACGTACACGATTTCACTTGTCGGTACCACCTCAAGGTGACGTAACTTTAGTGGTTCCAATTTCTTAATGTGACCAACAACTGCGAATGATGTGATAATCATTTGAAATTAGTGGGTTATCATGTAATTCACTTTTATTGGCCGTAGAAATAAATCGATACTACTAAGCTTAGGTGGTACCACTTTCTGCTCTGGTCCATGGAGAAATGGTGAAGCCCCGTGAGTCGGGTACAAACGTCTCAATGGACAAAACATATTCACTTAACCCAAGCACCCACAATGACCACGCAGGGATTATCACCAGAACTCGTAAATAACTACCGTGCCATCCGTTGGAATTAGGGGTTAAAATGTGGCATGGGAAAGACAGATGAAAATGTTTTGAACAGAGGCAGGGAGTCGATTGCACACATGGTTGGGGGAATGGGGCGTCCAAAGTTGTAGAGACAGCAGAGAAGAATGAGCGACCTCACCCACACAGCGAAAGTTGAATGGGGGCTCCACGATGCCACCACGTGCTGTTTGTTGCACACCCACAGCTGAGAAGATTGGGCTCCCGGTCGGGCGCATGTATTCGGATTCGTACAAGACTTGAACAAGAAGCCCGTAACCTAACCGAATCTGAATCTGCGTTCGAAAAATTGAGGTGATGCTTTTGGCAGTGGATGGCGCACAAGCACAATTAAAGAAAACAATTCAACATATTTGTCAATAACATTCCCTTCTGCATGGTGGACCCTTCCATATGTCGGACTGGCAAGAATGCACCTGTTATCACGTTTCCGGACCTTCCTTCATCCATTGCCCCGGTGCCACACTGCCATGAGCTCCCCATACCCACTCCTCCGAAAAGAGCAGCCGTCTTTAGAAGAGAGCAGCAAGTCAGAGAGCGAGGAAAACGTTGTAGATCCAGATGACAATTTCAGAGGTGGAGCTGAGGAGAGAACCCCATACTACCCCAACCAAAACTACCTCAACGACTTGATCAGAGATCTTGGTATCACCAAGTCCAATGCCGAGCTTTTGACGTCGAGGCTCAAGCAGATCAGAGGAAGCGTCACCAACCTTTTTCCAGCTTCTTCACCCGTCAAGATGGGCTCTGCTTCTGCCACAATGTGATTAGTCTGTTCGAGGCAATTGGAATCACATGTAACCATAATGAGTGGCGCCTCTTCATTGACAGTTCATCCAGGAGCCTCGAAGCCATGCTGCTCCATAATGGTAACAAGTACCCGTCTCTTCCCCTGACTCACTCGGTGCACCTCAAAGCGGATTACAACAGCATCAAGACCTTGCTGGACGCCTTGATGTATGATGAATACGGCTGGGAGGTCATCGGAGACTTCAAAATAGTGGCATTCCTGATGGGTCTCCAAGGCGGTTTTACCAAGTCTCTCTGCTATCTTTGCCTTTGGGACAGCAGGGACACCAAGGTGCACTACCACGGGCGGGACTGGCCAAAGCGGACCGAGTTCTCTGTGGGGAGGAACAACGTCAAGTGGGAGCCACTGGTGGACCCCCAGAAGGTGCTGATGCCACTACTGCACATCAAATTGGGCCTTATGAAACAATTTTTCATAGCTGTAGATAAGGAGTTGGCAGCCTTCAAGTACTTTCAAGACTTCTTCCCTAAGCTGTCTGAGGCAAACGTCAAAGCCAGGTGTCTTCGTCGGACCACAGATAAAGACGATCTTGGAGTGCAATGAATTCCCCAAGAAGCTCACTAGTAAAGAGAACGCAGCTTGGAACAGGTTTGTCGCAGTGGTTCGTGGCTTCCTGGGCAATCACAAGGTCTAAAACTATGTCACAAGGTCTAAAACTATGTTTTAGACCTTGTGACCTTGTGACTTTGTCTCTGTTTCCTGATTTTTTTTAAGTGTTAATTCTTAGCTATTGTAAAACATTGACAGGGCTTTTTATTACTGGCCGCTTAACATGTGCTTGCCATTGTCACTGCGCTTGGCAACTGTGTTTCAACGAAATCGCGCGAGTCTTATTGCGTAACTGATCGTTTGTATGCGGTGTGACGGAAATGGGTCTCCCTTTAAAGAGGATTTGCCCAGGTGGCACTCACCTGTGAATGGAGGCTCCCTTACATAGACTGGCGAGGCAGCTTGTTTTTTTTTATAATTCTGTCCGACGGCCCCGTTGACCACTGAGACGTTACTCTCCCACACGAGACGCTTCCACTCAGACAGGCAGGGAGGGTGGGGGGTTGAACGAGTGTAAGGTAGGGGTGATAATCTTTAGAGACACTGCCCCTCCGTTGTCGTTCCCCACGCGCGGCGGCTCGGACCTCTCACCCCCATATCCACTGTTCACGCACGGCGGACTCGGCTCGTCATGGCCATGCTGCGTGGAGTCGCGTTCGCCTTCGTGTGGCTCGTGGTGCTGGCGAGCGCAGTGAGCATCCTCTGCTACGTCGTCTGCACAAGGTCAGTTTGCCACCACAGTGGGGGTTTTAAAAAAAATGTTTTACGGTAACAGGTTATGTCCGGGTAAAGTTGAAGGTTGCGGTACGTTCTCGTTGAGCGGGACATCGATGTACGGCGTCGGGATGACACAGACATGTGCGCTAAAAGTTTGAGAGAATTATGCTCCGTTTTGTTTTGCCCTTGCTAGATTATTGAAGGAATCAAGAATATAACATCAACGAGTGTTTTATTTGTCCCTACACAAAAACATATGACGTTTAACAACAACGTTTATGTTCAAATAAAGCAATATAATGTAAGGGATCGCGTTGGTATTAGTAAAGATGGAATCAAGAATAATAGTTAATACCACCAATGTATCACAGAATACAATTATGGAATGGGAATATAATAGACCAACGTTGTCGCATATGGCACTCGCCATCCACACTAATTGTCACCGTGTTGTTAACTTACTTCCTGTGTCTTTAAATTGAATAGCGAAATTCAACTCGACGTGGGCCACTCAACGCAGGTGAATATCTCCCATAAGGAGTACGAGCAGCAACACACCCGTTCCAAGGTGCTTCACAGGGACGTCGTCTTCCTGAAGACGCACAAGACGGCGAGCAGCACCTTCCAGAACATCCTGTTCCGCTTCGGCGAGAAGAACAACCTGACGTTCGCCTTCCCGATGCAGGGACATCAGTTTTACTATCCGCAGGATTTCATGGCCTCATACGTGGCTATGCCACCGCGCGCCATCGGTGGCCGCTTCCACTTCCTGTGCAGCCACATGCGCTTCCACATGGCCGAAGTTGCGCGCGTGATGAGTCCCAACGCCACTTTCCTATCCATCGTGCGCAGCCCAGACACACACTTCGAGTCCGTGTTCCATTACTATGAGAACAATGACCCTGCGTTTATAGCAGCAAAAAACCACAGCGACCGCGTTAACAAAGGCCCCTTCAGGACCTTTCTCGAAAGCCCGGAGACGTTTTATAAACGGAACAGAAATCGCGGTCCCTTCGGCAGAAACCCCATGGCGTTTGATTTTGGACTCAACCCCAACGCTGACGTGTCGAGTCGTGAATTCCGCTCCGGCTTAGCGCAACTTGATGCCGCGTTTGACCTGGTCATGATCACCGAGCGCTTTGACGAGTCCGTGATCTTGGCCAAGGAGATTCTGGGCTGGGCGATGGGGGATGTGGTCTACCTATCCAACAACAAGCGTGCCAAGACTCATAACGATGAGCCACTAGAGCGAGAGGACACGCGTCTGACCGAGATGATCCGGCGCTGGAACGCGCTGGACGTGGCTTTGTACGAACACTTCTCGCGTCGCTTCCAGCGCCAGGTGGAGGCGTTCGGAGTGGGGCGAATGCGACGCGAGGTGGACGCCCTGCGCAGGGAGGTGAGCGCCCGCAGAGAGGAGTGCGTGGCGAGCGAGGTGGGGGTGCACGAGATCAAGGAGATGGAGATGATGCCGTACGCGCCGGAGTCGGTGGACATCCTGGGCTTCAACATGAAGAGCGGTCTGGAGCCGCGGACCCGAGAACGGTGTCTCCGGCTGCTGCTGCCGGAGCCTCATTACCATGCGCGGCTCTACCGGACTCAGCGCCGCTCCTGGATGGAGAAACTTCGTTATGGGCGCATTATAAATGCAGGCAGTGGGGCTATATTATCCAGGTCGCCAACTTTCGCTCTCTCGAGTATTAATGATTGAAATGCTAATCGGCATTTTACTAAATTGCACATTCATGTTGATGGATTGAGCGTTAATGGGACAAATAAGATAAATCAAAATTACTTTGGCCAATTCCATTAATCCATGTCTTTAAAATGGGAGAAATAAAATAAAAAGTATTGTGCCTCGTTAGATTAATGAAAAGTTTGTATCAACATCGTTGTAATACATACATGAAATTGTTTTAAGAACACGTGGGCTTCAGCAGGGATGCAACGCTCGAAGGGACGATATTCGGCGGCCAAAAGTTGTTACGGAGTGGCAGCTAAGGGGAGGAACGCGTGCGGGAGGAAGTCCACCGAAAAGATGGAGTTTTGCAATCGGCTCGTGTGCAAGTGCTAGACGAATTGACACATTGCGTGCGTGCGGGAGTTGTCAGCGGCCTGGGAAGACCCTCATCCAGCAGTGGATTGACCTTGGCTTATGCTGATTACGAAGTCTTGGTCGTCTTAAGGTCGTCAGCAACGATATTAGGGTTGTTTGGTGACGCAGCGTGGGTGTCTCGGCGTGAGGTCGGAGTCACTATTCGGCCCCTAACTTGCTCACCCATGCACATCGCGATTCGATTATTGGTCACGATTCTGTGTCGCGACTTTCTTCACGATTCATCTGTTTCTGTAGCGCATCTGTAACCAGTCACCTGAGTCACGTGAACTACGTATTATTGTATGTTGAACTTCTTTCGCACCGTACGTAGCCAACCGTGCTCATACGAGGTTCGGGGGAAGGACAACGAACTAAAGATGCGCTGTGTGTAAATCGAAAACACACACGGTGCAACGCGCCGCGAAATAATTATCAAATTCTATTCGCTCACCGTCATCGTTCACGTGAATGGGCACCGGGTCGTGATCCGGGCAGGTGGGGAAGAGTAACATTATGTATTTACAAACCCTTCTTCAGTCTATTACTAGATGAAGGCCACTTCCACGCCGCGTCGGTTATTGGAGTAGTTTGACCATACTTCACCACGCTGTTTAACACGTAGGCTTTCGCGACCAATGAGTTAATGAGTTAATGATGACGTCACCCTGCTGCTGCTCTATATAAGAACGGGAGACACAGCAGAGCCTCACCATTCTGGCGAATTGCCCGATGATGCTGGTTGCAATTACCAGCGAAACGTCGTACTCAAATCGTAAATGTTGTGGCTTCAACACACCGGTGGGCTAAAGCAGTGAACTATTTGTCTTTGTCAACGTGACACATTTTTACTGATTGGCCGTGTCGGGTGGTGGAGGGTTACGACACATTTATAAATAACGCGATCTAAACCCAAAAACGTTGATTATGTTCACCACGCTGGTCAGTGCAGGTTGTGGTCAAGGTTACGGTTGGGGACAGGACCGCTCTTGATGTTGTTTGCCGTGGCCAGCAAACTCACCTCAATTGGGCGGGTTCAGGGTGCAGCGCCCCGATGTTGACACTATACAGCCAAGCAATACACGTATGTATGAGTTGTATGTAGTGCATACACAGCTCGATACAATTCGGGCTATTTGTCCGCACGTAACATACCATCGCTGAATACCCAACGCATCGGGACACCCGTTTTTTTGTGAACTCTTTCACTATGTTCTTGACAAAAACCGTGACTCAAAAGCCAAACGTGAATGTATTGGCATTGTTATGCTTGTAGAGTGCGTGCAGGTATTCTATTGTACTGAGGCGAGTGTGAGGCACAAGGTATCCATAATAGAGACGTTTTGGGTTAGATCGCGTAAATATAAACGTGTCGTTAAACCCGCCACCACGCGACACAGCCAATTAGTCAGATTTGTCACGTAAACAAAAGGTGCCAATTCGTTACTAGTTCAGCACACCGGTGTGTTGCAGAGTGAACCCACAACATTTACAATTCGAGTACGACGTTTCGCCAGGAATTACAACTAGCATCATCAGGCGACAGCCAGATTTGTGGCGAAATCCTCCTGTTTCGTGCTTAAATAGAAGGAACGGGGTATACTAAAGCAAGGAATGCGAAACGAACTTTGAGAACAAAGGCGACGTGCAAGTATGCGCCCAGTCTCGATCAACTCGTGTCGGTCGAGACTGCGATAGCCCGACACGTGCTCAGTGTGGAGGTGCCGTCTACACGCCACCTACCCTGTGTCAGTGCCGCATGGGGAGGAAGAGGTCGTGGCCGCGGTCGCAGTTGGGGATGGTGGAGGGTTGGGGGAGGGGTGGGGGGCCAGGACCGGCTCGAAAATCATTCGCCACTGATGTAAGCAGTTGCTCTTCGTATCTTATTTTAATTTATATAGCACCTTAAGCGTGGCGCTGATGCGAATAATTCACGATTTGTACTGCAGAATACGTAGTGTGATGGGATGAGTTGATGATAAGGATGGTAGTAATGTACACGAATATGATGATGCGTGGAATAATGAGTGGATAATGTTATTCAGAATCCTAATGAGAAGTTTATTTCCCGAGAGAATCCCATTGAGCTGAGAAGCTCTTTCTCAAGGCTGACTCGGCCTTAAGACAACATTAAGCATTCCATAATCACATAATAAAATACAATAAAACATCATCGGAGCAATCGTGTTGTAAAATGGCATTCCCACTTAAACTTTTGTGATTTCAAGAGGGTCAGATTAAACGAGGACAGAGGTGTGGCAGAATGGAGATGCCGAGAGACGAATCGTTCATACCGAACATGACGACGGGGGTCGATGTCCCGTAGCCAGCTGACGACGCTCGTTGGGTCGCCTGACTGCGCATTGCTCAGAGCGAGCGCGACGCACCTAAAAATGAACACCTCGTCAAGGTATACGCATAAAATGTTGAAATAGTTCACGTTACCATGCGAATGAAGAAGGCTGATGTAAGCGGTTGCAAATTATTCAAACTATGGCCGCAAGTAAGACTGTTTTTGTTTTCCTTTTAAGGCATTTATTGACGAATGTGTTGAAATGTGTATGATTATTCCTGTATTATTCCTGTATTATTCCTGTATTATTATCAACAATTTTTTTTAATTTACCAGGTAAGGCCCACTGAGCTATTTATTTTTCAGAAGCGACCTGGAAACAAATGATAGCTCAACGAAGTGGCATATCATGTGGACATTTATAGCAGCCAAATACTCTGCACGCATGTTTCTAAATGTGGAGGGAAAACCCGAAAGACCCGGAGAAAAATCCAAGCGACCACGGGGAGAACATGCCAACTTCAAATATACAGGCGTCAAGGTCGGGATTGAACCCACGACCTTCTGCATAACAGGCGAAGGAGTTAACATCTCGCCACTGTGTGCTTGTGCACCACTATCAACGGCAAAAGCATAATCAAGTCATTTGTTGAAGGTAATTTGGTTCATCGGGCAGTGCGCTATCCACTGCGCCACCACTTCCCTCCATGGCAGGTTAAAGACATGATGAAAATATTCAATATCATGAGTAATTGTAATCAATCAACAACCGTGCATTAACTTAGTAATAATTGCGAACAGCAATGTACATGTTTGTTTGAAAAACAAACGCACGTATAAAATATATATAATCGTCAATCAGCACGATGATGCATCGATTAATCTACTAATATCGATTATTAACATCACATTGAATGTATCGAATCCCGCTTGCTGGAACGCACACGCGTGTATATAATTAGAATTTGACAATTCATTGCAGCATGAAGGCCTCCCCATGCCGTATCGCTCATGGAGGTTTGTTTGACCATACTTCACCACGCTGGTCGGTGCATGTTGAAGATTGGTGAACAGGAAAGTTTTTTGTGGTCAGAAATCGAACTCAGTTGGCCGAATTTATGGCACAGTGTACGAACAGCCCCAAGTACCCCTGACCGATACATGCCAGCGACTGCTCCTTCAAATCTGCTGTATCAGTCACACACCGAGAGTGGAAAGGACATCGCTGTCAAAGTTTAATGTTTGGCTGCACAAAATGCATTAAATGGAAACTTCTGGGCACACGAGAACATATGAGCATGGACAAACAAAATGCCCTTTCTCGAAGCCAAGGTTAATGGAATATAATACTTTGATCTATCTCTGATGTTGGGTATGTGCCCTGTGCGAGAGTATTGGGTAAATGTTTGCTTGAATATGTAACTTGAAGGCGCGACAGCAGAGTTTATTATAAACTACTAATGATACATTATTTACAACCCTATGTCAATCCACTGCGGGATAAAGCCCTCCCCATACCGTATCGATCTTGGGGTTTTGTTTATACGTATTTCACCCCGCTGATCAGTGCAGATTGACGGAGGGTGGCGACGCTCAGCAATGCCATCTCCTGGTTCAAACATCGCAGCCCCACGCCTACAACGCCTGAAAAGCCCTGGTGGTGGTCGCCCAAGCAAGTACTAACCATGCTCAATGTTGCTCATCTGCTGAGATCTGACGAGATTGGGTTCATTTTGGGTTGTTTCCTTAGAGGCAAACATACATCAGAGATAAATAAAATTACCTAAGAAGAGATGTGCACCCTCTGAACTTTTGAGAAGTTCAACATTCCGAGCGTTTGAAAATGAATTCCAAAGATGACAGACAATTTATGAATGTGCTTGGTTACCTGACAAAACATCTTGGCGATTGGTCCCATCATTATTATGATACTGTACAACATATTTGGTGATACTGCGTTGACACAGTCACAAGCTAAAATAACAACCTCAAAACGTTCGTTAATAACACCGTCGCCTTAAAAGGAAAAATATAATAGGTAGCCAGTTATATCTTATATCTTTTTTTTCTAGGACCCATGTCTTAGAGAACGTTTATTTGTCTAAAAACATCGGGCAGTTCACCGGCATGGGTTCAAACGAGCCTGACTCTGCAGATGAGACAACACTGAAGATCGAAACAGGGTCTAGAGTTTGTACGCTTGTCATGGATCAACACAACACCTTTAACAGCACAGTGTGCGAACAACTGCGCCACTGCTGCCCACTTGCATAGACCACCACTGATTGATGAACAGGAACGTCCGTCTGCTCCTCGACGGAACTATTTGCGACGACGTCACGCGTCTCGCTCTCAAAGTAAACAAAAGAAACAATGTTATACCGGGAAAGGCCCAGTGAGCTATGTAGCTTGTTTTCAGAAGCGACCTGGCCACAAATGATAGCTCAACGAAGTGGCTTATCATGTGGGCATTTACAGCAGCGAAATACTCTCAGTCAATGTTCTTTACTGATTTTCAGAGGGGGGGCACTTTCGCCTATAAGACATCAGTGTGAGGGCCGCCACACATTTCAAACCATTGGGTTTGACTTCTTTCGCACCGTACGTAGCCAACCATGCTAGTGCCAATCGAAGGAGAATGATGGGGTCTTTTCACATGTGTTCTTTGTCGAGGGCCGCACTAAAGGCCACCAGGGCACGACAGTGGCCCGCGGGCCTTGCAATGAAGAACACTGCCCGAAGTCGTCCATAGACTTCGCTTCGCGTACGTTAAACGACGGTTCGGTTGCCTTCTTGCGAAGAGGCGGGGGAGAGTTGCCAGTGCGGAAAGCCCCGCGTGTCACACGTACGAGGTGTTTCTTTGTCCGAGGGTGCCCACGTCCTTGTCCGCGTGTACAGCAGGTGCCGACGCAGAACATGCTGCATGTGTTATCCGGATTACAAGACGCCCCGGGGAGCATAAGACGCACCCTAAGTCTGTGTGCCCTGTGTCGATGGTGTATTGTTGTAAGACGTTCGGGTCGCGCAAACACAACTACCGGATTATAAGACGCACCCCCCCTCCAACCCTTGCTAATACTTGACAGTATTACAGAGTGGGTGGGACGAGAAGTGCGTCTTATAATCTGTAGAATAATGAACACACAGGGCATGTGATGGTTGTGCCCTTTCTCCCGCACGATGTGATGAACCACGACAATGCGGGGTCGCGATCAAACTCAATGATCGATTAATTATTTGTGTTGTCTCGTTTTGTATTCATCTGTGGTTTTCATCGTTTCCACGTGTGTTCATTCCGCGAGCCTGTAAGCGTGTGGTGTGCATGTCATCTGCATACGCCGTAAGCATTATAATCGAGTCCCCAGGCGCAAATTCAGTCGTGAACACGAGAAACGTGCCCAATCGTAGTAGCAGCAGGGGCGGTTTCTTCATTAGGGCGATTGGGCGACGCAGCACCAATGTCATTCAACCACAGAGTCACGCTAGCCGTCACTGTGCCTCTGGATATAGTCCAATCAGCGTCATGTCACGTTCTGTGGAGTACCGCCTCTTTTTGGGCGATTTCACTCCGGCTGAGAATCGCCCCGAGTGGCCCCATAGACTTACATTGAAAGATGTTTTTTTTCGAACGGGGGGCGCTGCAATGCATTCTCTATGGCTTCCGGGAGGGCTCACACTAACGTGCTTACGTCATCATACGTGCTTACGTCATCATACGTAAGCACGTTGCATCCAACAATATTATTTGTCGCCACCTAGTGGAATCTTTAATAAAATAAACTTGAGTGGTTTGTTTTAGTAGTGAGTATAGAAACAAACAAGATGTATTGTAAGAGTCACTTTATTTTTCATTAATATTAAAGAAGTGAAGTTGCCTTTACATGCTTAAGCTGTTAATTTATCCATTGCATGGGTGGACCTTATCCTTATCAATCATCCAGACATTTGCCCCCCCTGAGAGATTTTGCAGGAGCCGCCACTGAGTAGCAGTGTCCTGTATCACAAGGGGGGGGGGGGGGGGGCACAGCATTGTGACTCTTTGTGTAACGCTTCAAATATTAATTGGTCTACATTGATTCCTGCAGTTTGCAACGCAGTACCGCAATCACGTGTGTAACAATCGACGTTGTTTTCATTGCACTACGTTCCGAGTTCGATTCCCGCTCACGGCCAACACCAGTGACGATCATCTGAACTGGTCCTGGGCCTCCCCGAGGTCGACTCAGCCTCAAATGTGTACCTGGTTCGGTGCGTAAAAAACCATCGCCACTAGGAAGACAAAGGCGGCCGGGCGTGGTGTTGGCCACCCACCCCCTCGTGTTCCGAGCCGTGCCGGCCTTCATAGGTACTCGCAGACAGCACTTGCCCCAACAGTATGTGGAGGCAATACGGGGGGGAGCTTTGTCTTTATAAGCTGTATGGAGCCTGGATAGCGCTCGGACGGACGAGCATCATGCAAAGCAGGTGCTATGTTTAGGCTGCTGCGTGCAAAATGAATAATTGTACTGCACTATGATCTCATGTCTATGCTCCCTGCCAGTTATTATTCCCCAGGACTGACTGCACGGATTGACAGAAGAGCACACACACGTTGTACGTGGGTTTCGCGCGACCTCTCTAGCCACTGGATGCCGCTGTACGCATTAGAATGTATCTTTTATTCAACCGAATCGTGAGGGTAAGTGTTGTGTCACTAGGGATGACACAACACACTGCACCTCGTCAATAAAACGACCAACATCACTGGCGTCTCGTGCGCGCTGCCTCCGCTCCACGTGGCCCCGGAAAGCCTTGGGGTCATTTAATGTCCTGCGATTGAAGACGCACGCACGCAAAGGGCACGATGATCTTCAGGTGTCACACGAACGCATAAGAAATATATTCGGAGCAACGCCGATCCAGAATTAGAAGCGTCCGCTTCATGAATGTGCGTCGTTAGCAGTCGTAAAATACCAGACAGGCAATCTGTCTCATTCGTACATCTGTCTCTCCACGAAACAAAACAAACTAAATGTGCTTTACATAAACTATTACCTGATTTAAAATGTTTACCGGGTAAGGTCCACTGAGCTATATAGCTCTTTTTCAGAAGCGACCTAAGCGCATGTTTCTCAATGTGGAGGGAAAACGCAGAGGACCCGAAGAAAAATCCACGCGACCACGGGAAGAGATGCGAACTCCCAACTATACAGGCGTCAGGGTCGGGATCGAACTCACGATCTCCTGTATACTAGGCGAGGTAGTTAACATCTCGCTACCGTGGCGAGATGTTAACTACCCATCGGCCTCACGGCCTTCTGGGAGTGCAATAATTGCAGCTTACCGTACATCGAATACTTACAAGCGAAACTCCGGACCGGGTTAGACAGTGTCTAATCAGGGATCAGGCTTGCTTGAATCAATGCTGGTGAACTACCAGATGCAATCGGCAAGGGTTATTTCTCTCTCTTCGATATGGATCCTAGTTGGACGCAAACGTGTGCAATACATAACACAAAATACGTAAAAATAAAATACCAAGGTTGATTCACTACACGTACAATATAGTGCATGCCTGGGTGGAGTGGTGGCACAGTGGTTAGCGCACTGCGCTGTGAACATGGGAATTCGAGTTCGAATGCAGATTGATATCTGAACGTGTTCTTGGGCTCCCCCTCCCTTGACGATGTTGCACTGACCAGCGTGGTGACTTATGGTAAAACAGCTTACTAATCATAACAATTAACTGATTACTAATCTATTAAAGAATTACAATACCCCCCTCTGATCTCTGCACCTGATTGTGTTAAATGATGGCGTCACCCTGCTGCTCTATTTAAGACCGGGAGCAGGTGGGGGGGGGCTTCACTCTTCTGGCAAATTGCCCGATGCTGGATGTAATTACCAGCGAAATTGTAAATGTTGTGGATTCACTCTTCAACACACCGGTGGGCTAAAGTAGTGAACTATTTGTCTTTTGTCATCGTGACACATTTTTTTACTGATTGGCTGTGTCGGGTGGTGGAGGGTTGCGACACATGCATAATTAACGCGATCTAATCCAAAAACCTTTATTATAAACAGCTTCTATTGCCGCCACGGCATTAGAAGGCCTTCATCCAGCAGTATATCAAGAGGGTTGTAGGATAATACGCTTAAGTAGCTACTGTGTGCAAGTAAAAATGACAGTGGGGTTACCAGACCTTTCAAACGTGTTGTCTGTTGAAGGACACCACTTGGTCGTTGAGTGGGTGTGAGTCGGTGCACATTTTCACGTCATTCATTTCCTCACGAATGCATTCAAAATGAACTCTGGCAGAGTTCAGTGCACCATGTTGAGTCAGACAACTGCCACTAAAGATACTGTTTAAGAACTTCTTCAATAGCCCACGTCTTGCGTACTTTGGGCACAATTTACATGCCCCGCAAATATTATATTGCATACCAATCACAGCTTCGGATGCGTTCTATTCCTTGGTTGCCACTCCGTAAATATTTTTGATCAGCTTGCAATTGTTACTCTTGGCGATGCCGATTAATCGAAGTGTTGTTTCTAACTTGGCGTGATGTCGCTAACCTTCATGTGCCTGACGACCGCCACCTACACTATACGGCATGCACGCGTATGCGCTTGTGTTTTCGGTGCTGCAAGGTTGGGGTGGGGTACAGAGGGTCCGATAATGCTTCAGAGGTTGCGCCAGGACTGTTCCGATCGGCCGGGGCTAATCCACTTTTATCCCCTTCTTCTTAAGGGATCCTTGATCTGTGCCTCAACAGATGTGGTCGCGTCCTGGTAATGTTACAGGTAAACCCATGCTGTTGTATCATGTTTTGTTTTTCATGTCCGTGTTGGCATCGTCCCCATATATCGTTTGCAATTCGTCTCGTGTTGTCTTGCTTGTTTGTCAAGGGACATGTTCGTGTAATGTCCTGTGCGAGCAAAATCTATTGTGGTGTCGCTGAAATTACGCATCATTAAACAGATTATAGGGCAAAACGTATTATACCCCTGTAAGTAAATAAGCTGATTGGCTGTCACGGTATTTTTCATGGCAGCACCACCACGCCCATAATCGTGAGACACAGAAACCTCTTATTAAAACTTCAAAACCCCTGCGGTTTTCATTTTGTTCAAAGATCACCCCCTCACCCCACTACAAATGTTGAAACAAAAACGTTGATGCTTTTTTCGATGTTCAATGTTCTCCATGGCTTCTTTTATTACATTAACTAAAGGAAAGAATAATGTAATTATTCAAAGCAATGTTAATCCGAGGATAAATAATAAAAGAGCTATCAAATAAAAAGCACAACACTAGATTCGAAGCTTTCGTGACTGCAGGAATTACTCTTTGGTTTATTCGGTAAAGTCACGTCGAAATAAAATAAAATAGAATACGACGTTTCGATTGCAACACAAACAACCATCATCGGGTAAAAATTAATGAGAAAACATAGTAAACTTGGAAATATAATGCAATCCAACACAGTATTGCATTAACACCCCACCTGACATCTTGGTTATTTCGGTAGTCACGTAGAAGGGAAATAATAAAATAATAAAAAAACAAAAAAATTTAAGTACGTTCTATTTTATTATTTTATTATTTCCCTTCTACGTGACTTTACCAAAAGAACCAAGAAGATAAATCCCTGCAGTCACGAAACACCCCACTTGGTTGATTACATTCTTCCAAAGATTGCTAAATTTGAGACAAAACAGACACGGAGACACACAAGCAGAGACTCACACACACATAGACACACAAAAAAACGTCTCTGCGTCGAGGCCTTAGAGAGGGGGGCAGGCAGAGGGGAAGTTGTGGAATTCCTGCCCATGGCGGACAGACGAGCTTGGACAGCTGTTGCATCGCATTACACTTCCTAATTTTACTAAATTTGCTTTGTTTCACACTTCTAATTTAGCAATCTCTGGAAGAACGTAATCAACCAGGCTATGCGTTAACTGTGCTAACCGACTGTGTTGCATTGCATTACACTTCCTAATTTAACTAAATTTGCTTTCTACCGTGCTTGTTTATAAGTAGAAGTCCAGTGTCCAGCTCGTCCATCCACTATGGGCAGCAATTCCACACTTACCCTCTGCCCTACCCCCCTCGCTCTCGATTTAAGGCCTCGACACAGACGTTGTCTTTCTGTGTGCCTCTCTGTTTTTCTGTGGGAGTCTCTCTGCTTGTCTCGGTCTCCGATTGTCTGTGGGAGTCTCTCTGCGTGTCTGTGTCTCCGTCTCTGTTTGTCTGTGGGAGTCTCTCTCCGCTTGTTTTTGTCTGTCTCCGTGTCTGATTGTCTGTGGGAGTCTCTCTGCTTGTCTCTGTCTCCGTGTCTGTCTGTTGAAGTCTCTCTCCGCTTGTCTCTGTCTGTGTCTCCGTGTCTATGTTTTGTCTCTCTCTCAAATTTAGCAATCTTTGGAATAATGTAATCAACCAGGTGGGTGTGACTGTTGTTGGCCAACTCTCTGTGTTGTATTGCATTATATTTCCAAGTTTACTATGTTTGTTTTCTCATTAATTTGTACCTGACGATGGTTGCTTGTGTTGCAATCGAAATGTCGTATTCTATTATTAAATTTTTATGTGACTTTACCAAAAGAACCAAAGAGTAAGCACAACACTGTTGAAGCAGGGTCAATTCAACCACATTGTCTAAATACAGCATCTTAACATGCCTACGGTTTATCCAACATGAATGCTATTCTGCAGAACCCCTATTATGTTTTAAAAAATATATATTATAAATTATGACCCATGCATCTTCAGTGGTCATATTGAGACTAGCCTCCACCTCAGTACCACTTTGTAGGGTTAACATCGGTTGGCCTATGGAGAAATTCGTACTCGCTATAGTAATGGTCACTGCGTTTGAAATCAACATTTGTTTGGACAAGTAAATATTTCTGATGAGAATATGAACTTCAAGTCACAAGATGATTATTCTTGAACATTTATTATACGTTTGCAAATGTTTCATTAAAAAAACAGTTCAAATCAACATTACTATTCCCCTGATGCGAAGTACACATTAAGGTAAAGCCAATAGAAACCTGCGAGTGCAACACCCCGTAAACAAAGCAACTTCTCATCAGATATTTTCTTATCCAGTTGGCTGGTTTTATGTGAAACTTATGTTTCAAAACTACATTTTGACAACATTTCGACTGGCTCTGCCTAATATATACAGGCATGAAAAATGCATTCACGTGATCAACAGCTAACCGGGGGAAGCACACATTAGAAACATCTCTACCGGACCGACCGATGATGTATTTATTCTGGGCAAAGGACTACCAGGTGAAAAACCATCAAGGGGACATGTAACAGCTATGCCTGCCTAGGCGATGGAAGCCAGGTAATCCTTCACTTCTGGGGGGGTCAGGCGACGGAAGCCGTTTTCATTGCAGATGCCGATCTCGATGTTATCTTCCGTCATCTGTCCCTCGAAGCTCTCCTAAATGCACAAGCAGACAAGTATTAACACACAGTATTTGCTGTACTGGCCTATCACCAAATCACTCGGAATGCACCAGATCTCATCAGAGCTCACTCAGCACATCAGCAGGGTTGAGCATGGATAGTGCTTCCATGGGCAATCCCACCATGTATAAAGCAGGTGTTATAGGCTGTGGGGCTACGTTGTGGGCAGTGTAGTGAAACCCATTGTTTGTCCAGTACGTCCATGCATCCAGCTTTTACAATTTTTACAAACACTACCTTACAACAGAAACATATCTAGAAAGATAGTCTGGCAACAGTCTTTCAATTTCAGCAACGTGACGAACATTCTAACTTCATATTACACAATAGTTATGAGGCGGTGACGATTACAGGACATTTCTTAAGGGAAGTTTAGAAATGAATGTTTCAGACCTTCAGTGTCAGGATGGCAGTGTGGACAGCATCTTCCAGCTCAAGGTCTTCATTGTACCTGCAGAGATCAGTGTTCGACTTCATGAGGGCATTTCTGTGCATCAGTGTGTGTGATTTATCACATATAATATCTGAATCTCAATTACAACTAATATTTGACATTTACGACGTGCAAATTCCTTGCACAAGCCTAAGAATGAATAACTCAACCACTGCTTACCTTTTCTCTAGGAATGTCTTTCCATTGACGTAGTTCTTTCCCATTGCAGTTGCTTTCCATGCAAAATATGCTCCCTATGCAAAGAAAAGGAACACATCACCAGTCATTCTTTAGACAAACTCATCCTCAATGTATACAATGGTTCGATTTTGGGATGCTCACACAACCAAAGGGTACTAAAATGTTGTCTTAGGGCGCCCCCATCGCTTCAATGGAAACATTGACCTCAATGGCTACAATCAGATCACCTGGAATGCACTCGCACAATCATGTCTGATCTAGGAAACTAATCAGGTTCGAGTATGGCTTGTACTTGGATGGTAACCCCCATTCAAATACTAAATAGGCAGTACAAAAATAGACTTTTTACTCTATTGGGAATTTTGAATGTCACCCCCGAATTTTGAATAGATGTTCTCTGGGTATTATTTACTCCTGCGTGCAAAATATTCCTAAATGGAATTGACTAAACATCTCAATGCTTGAGATTATATGATAATCTTACTCAGAATAATTGCCCACAGGATATTTTATTATGCAAAATAGAGCGACTCACGGAAGGGTCAGCTTGGAAGAGATAGGGTTTGCCCTCGTCCCAGCCAGCGATCAGCAGGGACACCCCAAATGGACGGACACCACTGGAAAAAAACCCACCATTCTCATTTTATTGCAAAGATACAATAGATGCAACGATTGAGTATTTTTACAGGCATTTGTCAATCTGCTGGTGAAGGTGGTTGTCTGACTATACTTTACCATGCTACTCAGTGCAAGTTGGTAAAGGGAGGGCCCAGGGCCAGTTCAGATATCACTTGCAATTAATGGCTGGGAATTGAACTCAAGACAACCAAGTTCATATTGCAGTGCATGAACCACTACGCCACCGCTCCATCCTAGCAATGAAGTTTAACGCGAACTAATATAAACATAACTGTCCATACTCTTTGGTTCTTTCGGTAAAGTCACGTAGGTAGAAACTGTCCAGTTTATAGAAACATTACGTGCAAAATAATAAATCGTAAAAATCTAATACAATTATGTCGAATTTGTCATCAATTATACGTCCTCATGAACCGCACCTAGCTTCTAGAACCCCTGGCAACAGGGACCTCACCCAGACTGCGTGTACTCCTGCATCAGGGAGGCGACTCGCTGCACCAGCTGGGCGGTGGGAATCTGCTCCTGGTACGTCAGGTAATAATTCTGCGCCTGTTTTCGTGCCTTCCGGATCAGCACCCTAACAGCACGCAGAGAAGCCTTGAGTACTTTTCACTCGCACAAAATCTCAGACATAAGTCTCAAACAGGTAACATTGTTAGCATTGAAACGGTTGTATTCCAAAAATGTGCACAACATTACATGCATGTTTTGTTAATAACTTCCCACAGCAAGAAAATTACAATTCATCAATGTGTCACTGAACAATGGACATCTTTAAAATAGCTTAAAGAAAACTGTAAATACTCGGCAGGTAATAGAGCTTTAAATAATTGAATACATTTATTTTTATTTTAATGATGATACATCGATAACATTGTACATGAAAATCTATCTGTATATTCTTGGGTTTTTTCTGGTAAAGTCACGTAGGTAAAAAAAAATTTATAAAATAAAAATAAGGACGTTTCGGAGGCAACACAAGCCTCCGTCTTCAGGTGGAACCGTCACAGCACGCTCGCTGTATCAAGTAAATGAGAAATTCCAAGAGATCCGACCCCGTATATATACTGGTTGAGGGGGGAGGAGCCAGGGCAGGCCCCTGGATAGGAGTTTTTTATTATTATTATTATGGTATATTTTGTATATTTTATAATAATTTCACATTAACCTTTTGGACACTTGATTCTACAAGCACAACGAATAGAAAAAAATGTTGAATCAAACAGCATCCCTGTCATGCGATTAAGAATAGATGTATCTATTAGCAAAGACACACTAGTTATTGCATTTACGCTTATGAAATGAACAATGTAAAATTATTTTTTTTAGAAAAACTACAAACAAGATCATACAAATTCAATCGAATCGCGACCAAATTCTGACAATCAAAAATAAATGGCAGGGTGAAATGTTGCATGTCCAGTGAGTACACAACCAGGCTCAGTTGTCACATCTCCTAACAAATAGTGTCCCACCTGCAGTCGGGCCCCATGCCGCTGTACACCATGCCAATGTTCTTGGTGATAGGCTCCACCTTGTGAACGCTCTGCTCATCATACAGGATGGACTTTTGTTTTTTCTCTGTGGCCAGAACCACGCCATTTATTGCTGCAAAAAATATAACAAGAGAGAAATTAAAATAATATTCTTCTTAAATGCAAAACACATAACACAAACATGCTGTATATTTAAGACATACAAAAAAATTTAGCCTTTAGAAAATGCACTGTTGGACTAAGGCCTCCCGATACAGTCCTGGTCATTGAGGGATATTTGGCCATACTTTTTACGATACTAGTGTGGATTGGCAAAGAGGATGCCCAGGACTGGTTTAGACATTACTCACCAGTGGCAGACAGGCATGGCTAGAAATACAACAGCCCTTATGCTAATCACTGTGCCGCCGAATTAATCCAATAAAGTTATATTTTTTCGGGGTGAATACTGTGGTAACAATATTTGTTATATAATAGCTAGTTCTAATGCTAGCTCTCAGGCACACTAAGATTGCAAGTCTTCAAGTATATGTCTAGAGGCGCACACAACACTTTTCAATGATAAACCCTGCACAGTTAACAAAATACGCTGCAACAAATCTGTCCAACAATCGACTGAAACAATTGCAAATCATATAGCTTAATAACCACGCATTCCACATTGCCTTGACACGAGGTTTTGTTTTGGGTGCAGCAACATCATTTTGGATACCTTTGATTCCAACTGACGGAGCTCCTGCTGCGACAGCAGCGAGGGCATACTCGATCTGTACGAGTTTGCCCGATGGGCTGTGGGGGACATGGAGAGAACAGGTTGGAACGTATATTTTTTGTAACGAAGCAGGATCATTATCTCTTTTTTATAAGCCATTAGATTCCCACTGCTGCAAGAGAACATTCCCCGATGTCTTGCCACCTCCATCCAGTGTACACGTAAAGTACATACATGCATATCCCTTTTGTCAATCCATGTCTAAATGAGGGCCTCTCCACGCCGTGCGGACAGCTGGACGTATTGGAACATTTTTCTACATGCTCTCAAGTGTGGTTTAAGGCAGCGAGCATAGATGCTGGAGCATATTATTGTACGATGGATTTTGTTGTACTGCCCTCTGCTGACAATATATTTCCGCAGTCATGTTGATCACCCACATTCAAATACTCTCCACGCTCAACCCCCAGCTTCGTTTTCAAGATGTGGCATTGAGTGCATTCTGCAGGCCGCAGGCCAATCCAGTGTGCTCCTCTAAAGCTTGTCCCATATCATTTCCTACCTCTCGATTTCCCTCAATCAGCCTCCATTCCGTAGTATTTTGTTCCCTTTATGTAATGTCCTGCCCAACGCCATTTGATCACTTACTTACTCAAGCTCAAAACCATAGGCGAGCAGTCGAACCCTTCACGTCAGGCAATGCTAACGCTGCTGTCAAACAATGGTCCAGAAGGCCGATAGACCGATAACCTACAATTTTATTTTAAGTGCCGATAGATTCACGTCCATATACAACGCCATTACCTTTGACCGTATCGCCTTAAGAGTAAAAATGCCCTTTGAAAAGTCACCTAATTGCTAGAAGGGGTGCGCGAAAGACCGCATGTAGAAGACGGAGAATGCATCGATGTTTAAAAAAAAAAAATCAGCCTCCGTGTGCATTAACATCGCAGCACCCGCAAGAGATAGCGCCGGCCTCAGCAGTGGATATCTCGTAGCAGACGACGACGACGAGACCACGGCCTGGCTCCACGAGCCTCAAAGCTCTCCCACCACCACCATCACTTCTAGACTTGAAGCTTTCGTGACTGCAAGGAATCATATTCTTAGGTGTTTTCGGTAAAGTCACGTAGGTAAAAACATCAATTTTTTTTTATTAATTTTGATGTTTTTACCTACGTGACTTTACCGAAAACACCTAAGAATAACACCACCATTACCCCATCCCAACACGGGGGTTGAACCCTAAGAATCCTATCCGACGTGAGTCGGCAAAACGATTTTGCCTAGGCCGCAGCGGAAAAAAAACACAATCGCCGCCGAAGCGGAGGCCCACGGCTCGCTGCTCCGCGACTCTACAAGAGGTCGTCATCGCCTCCTCCTTCTGTCTCTCTCTCTCTCTCCTCACCCGCGTCCACCTCCTCACCTGAACGTGGTGAGGGAGAAGCTGTACGTCGTCATCTTAACCCCTTGCCGCCGAGCGTCGTACAATTATTTTTTGTTGCGCTCGCAATAGGCGGAGGAGCGCGCTGATTGGACGAGGGGGCTGCACGGGGCGGGGCTCTTTGTCGCTGGCCCGCGACGCGATTGGTCGAATGGTTGCAGCTAACACGCCCACTCCCCCCCCTCTCGCGTCGACCAATGGGCGAACGTTTTGGAACTGTTGCGTGCGACCCGCGGCGGCCATCTTACGTGGGGGGTGGGGTAATATTTTTCAATGTTAACCTTTGACAGGAGTATTTTCAAACGTCAACGAAATGTATATATCATGTAAACAGTCAATAATACTGATTAAAACTTGATTTGAAGCTTTCGTGACTGCACGAATTACTCTTTGGTTATTTCGGTAAAAGTCACCTGACTTTACCGAAAGAACCAAAGAGTAATACTGATTAAGTTATGCATTAATAAACCTGCTGCACCTCAACGTTATCCCCGTCAGAAGCGACGCAAAGGGCCTCCCTATGAAAGATGGCCGCCCACGAGTGCTGCAATGGCGGCATCACGCGCCGCCGCATCACGTGCTCCGGGTTAGACCAATCAGGAGCGTGCGGCGTGCAGGCGCTCGCACGTGCAGGAGGAGGAGGAGAGAGAAGTCGCTGCGGTCTCCCGGCTCGTCTCTTTGGTTGGCGATGGCGGGCTTCCTGCAGCGGGTCGCCTCGTCCCTCCTCTGCGCGGAAGCAAGGCTCCTGCAGATGCTCGGGTTTCACCACCCACCCGGTGCGGCGAGCTGGCCTGCTGTCCTCACTCTTGTTGTTTGCGGGCGCGTGTTTGATCGGTACCGCTGTCGTTATCATCATCGTCGTCAGGCGTGATAAGAAGTCCAAGTGATGTCTCGCTCAAATTAATTTCGAGGCGGTGTTCATCCTGTTTTCAGCCCGGTGCCAGTGGTGGATATTCCAGGTTCACTGTGGAGGAGGCAAGTCTTATCGAAAGGACAACCACTATTGACTTACCCTCCGTGTGGTACTGCACTGTTTTGGCCGAGTAAACCCCCAACCAGGATTTGTAGTTTGTTGTAACTCGTGTAACATGATTTTAGAGCCACTGGCTCGACCGCTGAGCCACCAGGCCAGGAATGTTAGACTAATATTAAAGCATGCTGCAATGCTTAACTCGAGATTAATATGCAGCTGTCACCAGCGCTACTACCAATACCACCGCCATAATCATCACCACTTATGCGATCACTACAACCATTATTATAACCAGTCAATATCAGTATACACGAGAGTGATCGGAATCATCATCATGTAACATTAACCCTGATACCGGCCTGCCCTTATTGGCTCTACCGGGCGGCAGCCTCCTCGCTCGGTACGCCTTCTATCACCACAGCTAAGGCCTGCGTGACCTTGGCGAGAGTATTAGCTACTTCTCTACACAGGTTCATTGCCTGTTTGGGAAATGAGACCACTGAAAAACACTCATTGACATCTCTGTAGATTGAAAGTGGTATGGGTTGCCCGCATTGTGAGTGCAGTGTATATTGCTCACGAGTTATGTATGGTGTTGGCGATGTTATTGGTCGTGCACATGTACAGCCCTTGCCAATCCATTGCTGGATCAGAGTATCCTCACGCCTTGCGGGTCGTGGGAGTTATTTGAACGTGCTTTCATCACGTTGTTCAGTGCCGGGATTGTGAAAACATGAATATAGACGTGACAGCATAAATCACAGTACAGTACAATAATTGATGTTGCAAGAATGCCCTCTGCTGCCCACAACGTAGCCTCGCAGTAGCCTGCAATGAATGTATTGTGCGTGGTGGTCACAAAACAGAACTTCAACATGCTGTGTGGGTGTGTATTGAAATAATAGCTTTTGTTCATTTCTGCAGGTACAGATGAAATATGGTACAAATTCATCAACCTATGTCTTCCGAGCAAACATCGAGCTGCATTTGTTTAAACAAACTCTGGACCCGTTTCAACATTATAGATTTCATAATAGTACACACCAATGGACAGGAAGTACAAGATCGATTGGCTCGCATAATGGGCATGCATATAATGTACGTTGACTCATTAATCCCCCCCCCCCCCACACTTTGCGCCAAGAAGAGCGCACAAGTGTGGTCACCACATCTACGCCTCTATAATGAGGAGGGGTGGGGGGGGGGTGATGGCACCTGCTAATGAATATTAATGAGGGGGCTGCTCGACGTGAGAGTGACGTCATGAGCGTTAAGGACATTCCTGGGTGATTATAGTAGGTATAAGTTCAAGTTCATTTATTAGGTATAGCCTTGTGAGCCATTCGGCTCTTGAATCGGGTGCAACCGCAACAAACAAAAAACTAAAACATGAACAAAAAACATCTTAAAGTGAATATGTGACTAAGTGCAAACAGAAAATCCAAGAAAAATCAGCAAAATATTGCAGAAAAAATCACCGTACACCAACGCTGTGTGCAAAAATCCCAGTGGGATGCAGGTCAAACAACCAACAACAACCATAAGACAACTTGGATTAAGGCCATTAGTCTAACTCTGTACTACAATAAACAAACATGGCTAAACCAATACACTTTTCGAAATCACCAAAATAAAGCCATGAAAGCAATGAAACAGTGATCATAGGAACTGTGACGGAATTTTCACAATAAATGGCATAAACAACATGTACTACCAAAACCCTGCAGCCATAGCTGGTTGCATGAGTCACTCCACAACAGCAGGAGCATCAATCGGAGTATTATAATTTTTCAATGCACCTTTAAGATCAGCACACTAAATCAAAACACAGGTCATACTTTGTAGCGATCATCCGGAGCGAAACGTAACAGGTTGACTTCTCCACAAATCTGGCTGTCGCCTGATGAAGCTAGTTGTGATTACTGGCGAAACGGCGTACTCAGATTGTAAATGTTGTGGCTTGGCTCTCCAACACGCCGGTGTGCTGTACTCGGGACAAATTGGCATGTTTTGTTCAAGTGACAACCCTTGCTAGTTGGCTGTGTCGGGTGGTGGGGTTTAACGGCACATTTATATATTTACGGGATCTAACCCCAAAAAAACCTGTTATGGATGATATTGGTCACGGAAGCCTACGTGTTAAACATTCTAGATTCCATTGCAATTCAGCCTTGCTTAACACTGCTGGGTTGTCAGATGTTATTGGTAATGACACTCCACCTTCAGGATGATGCCCTGTTTATCACAAAAGTAGTACTGTATTGTATTACACCTCATTATATAAACTTTGAAGACATATGGATCGTCAGCCATAGCCCATCAACTTGATGGATGTCATCGCAATTCCTTTAGGTCTTGGACAGCAACAATCCATCTTGCTCTTCCACCCAAATCGATTTCATTACTCCATGTCCACGGTGTCACTACAATAGGTACTTGCAGTGACTGAATTGGGCTAAAATTAGAAGCAGTTGTCAGGTTGAAAATAATCCCCTCGAGTACCTTGTTAGTAGACCTAAGATGTTTGCAGCGATTGATAAGTATAATTTGTGGGCCATTTTTTAAGTGGTACCCGAATGTGGCTGCGAGCCACGTGATGTGAAGCTGCAGGCCACGTCCAGCCATGTTGGCATATACATTCCCCACCCCTGGTGTATTCAAACACAACAAAGGTCATTGTTTGTATGAACATTCAGGATTAATTGGTTGATGGTGCCGACCATTCTGTAACCTCACCCTGTGGGCCCTCAGCTCCGGTGCTCGTGTTTCCCACGCTGTCCGGGCTGGAACAAGACTCGGAACCGGAGATCTCATTCCTCGATGACCCCTTCCTGTGGATGGCGGCGCCCAAGAACCGCCGCACCATCGAGCGCAACCGCGATCGGCGCCGCAACCCTCAGAAGATGATCAAGTTCAGGGTGAGCTTGCGTGATGTGCAGATAAGCCCAAAGCACCATGGTTGTGACACGAATGTGAAAAGTTAAATTCTAATGTGGAATTGAAGGGCTGTGTGTTGTCTTGCTGTGGTCTGGGACTGTTGTTGCCTTCCCCAAGCTTGTGTTTATTATTTTATGTATTTATTTGAGTGATTTGCTTCCTTTTCCTATACTTTGCACTCCAATCGTGTTTTGTATTGTTTGTTATTTAACTTTCTGACCTGCCCCTACTGAACATCTGTGAAAAGGAGCTTCATAATCGGATTTCTCCAGGTTAAATAAAGATTCTGAAATAAGCACATTTTTATACTCATTTCCGAATTTGGGGTGTGATCGCAATAGATTTTTCATATATTGGCATTTCCTCTCGGTCATTGCTTTCCACAGAAACCACTTTCCAGTGAACTTCATCTGTGTGTCTGTGTCCCATCCCACAGACCAACGTGGACATGTGCCCTGAATGCGGGAATTTGAAGCTGAAGCACGTGCTCTGCGGATTCTGCTACGATCGCGTGATGGATGAGACTCGTAAAATCCGTGCGCTCATGGCAGCACAAGAGGGTGGGTCACTCCGTGCACCTGCCACGGAGACGGTGGTGGTGTACGAGGGCGAGAACACCTCGGAGACTGACGCTGGGAAGCGAATCCTGGAAACCAAGCGCAAGCGACCTAATTGGTTTACACTGCACTAAGCGGCCAACACAAGGGGGTGGATAGATGGTCAGAGCCCAAGGCAGGCGTTTTGAAATGTATTTTTATTCTTTATTCTGCAATAGGCGGCAGGAGTGTTGGGTCGGATGGGAATCAGTGGAGGAGTGTGGTTGGCATGGGCCCTAGTGCAATTATGCCCCTGTCCAAGTTTCACCGTCAAAGCCCATCACTCCTTGAGCAGTTGTACCACTTACATACTCTATAGCTATGCCAGTTGTGGTAACCACTGCCCTTTAAAGAAACCATTTCACCAGGTTGGGACTTGTATCTGCCAGAAAATAACAGCTGGTGATTTGCAGTTTGGGTGTGATAGGTGCCAGGACAAAAATTCATGCCAAATCTGCAATTGTCTTGTGTGAGACTGTAAGAGGATGTGATGTCTCTTTTTTATATACCGATGCTTTAAAGCTGGTGATATGTATAAACATTATACAGTAAACTAAACAAATCTTATCCACACAGTTTTGTTGACAAATGACTTGGATTATTTTATTACACTGTCAAAATACTGCTCATTCCATCGAAAACATTACATAGACAACTGTTGTTAGAAACATTAAGTTGGTTACTATTCTAAAGCTTCCTGGTAGATCATTTTTATAGCATTGTCAAAGCCTGTCAGCCATGATCAGTCCACTGATGGTTTAAAGTTTCCCCAAAAAAATGCGACATCTGGAAATGTAATTATACCACCCCAAATTGATAGATTTAAAATGCAAAGTGACTGGTGTGGTAAGTTGGCCATAAAACCTCCATAATTGAATACAACTAAAGTGCTTATACAACTCAAAGCCATTAATAAAATTATAATTATTACCTGAGGTAGTATACGACTGCACACTAAATGATCAACAAAGAAACCGCCACGGAATAAGTTTGTATCCAAAAAATCTGCGCTTAAGAGTATAATCACTAATGCCCTGATTTTGCAGCGGCTATGTTGTTGAACACCAATGGTTTGCATCTATACTCAGTCTAAAGTGGGTTTCTCAAACATCAGTCTTGACAGCACAGCATGTTTTTTCAATTTTACCAATTCATCATCGGTACAAATTAACTGGTTACAAGCTGCACACACAATGATTGTAAAAAAATCCTCCATTTATATTAAGAGATTACTTTCATTCCAATGGCATGATTGAAAATAATTATAAATATCTGCACAAATTAACCAATTCTTCCACGTGAGATTCAATGCATTTGTCATGGAATTAAATCGAGGATGAATCCTTAAATGCTGAATGGAATGTGCAGTTTAGTGGGTCAAAGTATGAACATGGTTCGATGGACAAATGGAGGATTGCTCTAAGCTGAGCTTGTAGTGGTCAGGTTTGTGCAGCGTGCACCACAACAGCACTGAGCTGAACTTATAAGTTTGAGATCATCGCTTGAACAGCAGGAGCAGAGAAGTTTGTGAGCAGAGCCTCCAAGGAAGGAAGTCTTTATTCTTGGCGTTGGCATTGGTGACTGCACAAAATTCAAGTGTGACACTTGTACCATATTCAGCTGTGTTCAGTCACAAAAGTGCTCCGTACAGGCAATGTGGGAAACCTAAAACGGCTCAAAGCATCACATGGAGTCTCCATGGGCATAAATACATAGTAGACAATTCATACACACCCTCCTCACTCCCCCCCCCCCCACCCCCCCAGTGAGTTTATCGACCCAATTTGGGGTCGTGGTCACCTCTGCCATCTTGTTTGTATACATTGTTATGCCTCGTGTTGATCAAAATGAAGCATTAGTTGAAATGTGACCGACGGCTTATAAAAAATTATCACGCACAATTCTATGTGTGCATCTTGAGGGTAACCATCAATTTCACCATCACATGCTCGACCAATAGTGTACTAATGCCAATTTGCATGCCAGTGCTGGAGTGGCACAATCGCACGACGGCAAATGGCAAAGTATGGTTAAACGAGGCGAGAGTGGTCAGATGCCGACGCAAAGGATACCCAGGAGGTGCGGGATGGTGTTGAGCAGCAGCATCCACAGAGTGGCGGTCAAGCCCGGTGAAAAGCTGGGACACGCATCTGTGGCAAAGGAGAGCAACGCAAGGGTGTGATCAGCAACAACCTCTTACTAATGGAACACATACATCCTGTTGTCAAATCCACTTTTGAATGATTACCTCACGCCAAGTGGCTTGCAGGGAGCATAGATGTAGAGTAAAGCAATAGATTTTGCAGCACTGCCCTTTGCTGCCCACCAGGTAAATGAAAATGTCAGTGCTGCAATTTGCCACAGTGCTCCGTAACAGGATTCCATCATGCACCTGTCTCCAGCTGGCGTGTGGTGCCGAGCCTTGGCTCCATGTCAGGCGGGCAGGCTGGGCACACCTCGGAGCATGGCGGGCACCGCAGGCTGCCCACATGCAGCCACTGCCCAGCACGAACTGCCACGCGGATGGCCTGGCCAGCGTGGCTGCACGGGAAGTCCACGCCACCAACCCATACGGTGACGCCCCCCTCCGGTGAACATGTCACCTGCGGGAGATCCGAATGGATTGCTCGACAGTGCGTTTTTGAGTTGCATGTTCAGATACTGGATATGCAGTTCCTGAAGAAGCTCCCAGCATATGGAACGAAATGTCGGACATCTCGCCGAATAACTCGGGGTATAACCCAACAACACATCGGAGAGCTATACAGCACAATTACGAAAACCTACGCGGTATACGAATCCATTCTAGGTCTTCTGACACGAGGCCCAAAGCACAATTGAGATCAAATCGGGAAAACATTTTTTTTGAAAAGTAGTGTGAAGTGATTGGAGGATCAGTGGTGATGGCATGTATCGGAAGTATAGGAGAGCAGGCTGTGTGCTACACAAGGCTGCGTGCTAGCCGTGTCGTACGCGGTAGCAGCCACTGCCCCAGTCCGGGATCGCGCGCTTGTGACCACAGTGTTGCATGTGGAACGTGGAGCCCTGCTCAATGCACGCAGATTCCTGGCTGTACGTCTCCAGGCCGTAGTTCACCCTTTCGTCTGTGGGAATGCAAATGCGTGAACGAGCGTGATGATGCAAAAAGTGACTGCAGGCAAAACTTTGGTTGCACGAGTTGCAGCTGCATGCACAAAATTCCATTCCCAATATTCTCTCCAGCAGTGACTCAATGCCTTAATTAAATAGTATTCATTTGTTTTTATATCAAACTAGTCCACAGCCAGTCCTACGTACGAGGTGAATTGACACTCATGTGATGACTCATCTGACCCACGCCAGAGGGTCACCATTTGCCTGATGCTCACCACTGACTAGCCATCAACAAGCCTAACCCTCTCCAGTTTTATACATAATAACAGGCCGACAACACGTAGTAGAGCTACACAAGAGGGGATTGGTTGCGGCAGTGCCGTGCTCACCGGGCTGGTTGCGTGGGTTTTGGCACGCTGAACCCCGGCTGAAGGCGCCGCCTTCGTGCCAGCTGAACTCCTGGCTGAAGGGGCAGTAATCGGCTATCTCCACGAGGCCCCCGTACAGCTGCATGTCCGCGGAGCTCACCCCCGGCAGAAAGTCCAAATACTGGCACGGGATGTTCAATGTAACAACATATTTGCGAATTAAAACTAGGATATCATTTACCACGTGAAAATGGAGTTGAGCAGGCCATCTAACTAAGAGATTGGATGACAGGCAACAAATGTAAGAGTTTGTTTACATTTATCTTCATATCAAATTGAAAAGGTAATTTATAGAGTAATCAAATCCTTAAATAAACATATCCCCACTTCTAGTTGTGCCAGCTCAGCATTCTGACTTCTGAGCCACCTGGTTCACAAGTCAGACTCGTATAACAAGCAGTTGCTTATCTCTTACTTTATCAGGGAAAGCCACACAGAGTCCGAAGACACCTTTTTATGGGGGTCCTGCATTTTAATGTTTGGCCAACACCAATGAAAATGTAAGTTTTTAGCTATGGGAGGAAACTGGAGATGTCAGAGAAAACCCATGCAGAACATCGGGATAACATACAAACTTCACTCGGAAAAGCGCCCCGGTCGCGAATCAAACCCATATTTTTATTGCTGCGAGGCACACATATTACTGCTGAATCACCCTGCCACCCACACATCTTTACTCTCTGGAGTGAAGACACAGCCACTTGCCGGACACAAAACAAACGACAGGGAGCATTGTAAGCAAGACCACCTGGTAGTGTGTGGGCAGCGGGTTGGTGTAGCGCTGCAGGTTGCACAGCACGAGGGCCGAGCGCCCGGCCCCGCAGCCCAGGCGCAGTGGGTGGCCACGCACCTCCTTACAGAACGGAGCCACATTCAGGCCGCTACAAAACAAAAAGTTAAGCATCCACAGTTTATTTGATGAAAAACCGAGCAGCTGGAAACACATTCCTGCGGAGGGAGCTGGTAGGAATGTTGGGTTGCTCGGTCAATGGCCAGGGTGTATTCTGCAAATATGGCCGACTGTGAGGGCGGGCACAAGCCGGCATGAGTAGGTTGAATGTTAAGTTTTATAAGGGCACCACGGGGTGACCAACCCCTCCCCACCCAGCCCCTCCACACCCTCCCCACCCAGCCCCTCCCCACCCTCCCCACCCAGCCCCTCCACACCCTCCCCACCCAGCCCCTCCCCACCCTCCCCACCCAGCCCCTCCCCACCCTCCCCACCCAGCCCTTCCCCACCCCCTCCCAGCCCCTCCCCACCCAGCCCCTCCCCACCCTCCCCACCCAGCCCCTCCCCACCCAGCCATTCCCTGTTAATTAAATTATTAACCATGAAAATGCGACTGTTTTTAACCTTTCTACCTCCCGTGTTATTTATATTTATGACTAATATTTGGTTTAGTTATGCGATTTAATTTACATTTAGTACAAATTTATTGTCCAATTCTACCCTGGTTCTTGTGGGGTTTTTTTCAGAGCTGCGTTGCTTATGTTTTGCTTTACCTGTATGATTGTTTTAATTAAGCTTGCAATTTAACCCAGGGCATCCTTGCAAATATAACCCACATCTTAAGTTGTATTTATTGTTGTTTTTCTTTCATCTCCTGGTGAAATATTTTTTTTATTATTACTCCAATTCCAGCCAATGCCATTTTCTGATACCCATTTTTATAAATGCCACCAAATGCAGGGGAGTTTCGATTTCGTTGCCTTTTATCTCCATTATAATCAGACTGCACTATCGGCATCATGACACAAGGCGAACACACTGCGATTTGGAACTCTCACAAAAAGCACATCACCCCTATGTTAGAGAATGGCCTCTGGAAGATGACATCAGAGAAGTAGTTCTGAGACCCGTACGGTGACCTCATCCACTTAGTTGTCTGCTCGTGAGGTAGGTGCTCACTACATGGCAGTCCAACCAATTTACTATTTTAGTCCTCAGTTGGAATATATGCTGTGAAGTCTAAATAAACGTTTGTGTGCAGTCATTGGCAAATGGGCTCATTACACTTGAGAACACTGTTTAAATCACAGATGGCGAAAATCCAAATACCAGGATCTCAGGGGTTGCCTGCTTCAACACTGCATTGTCCCTCCGAGTCACCCAACTACCTCCCAGTTTTGATTTCTCATGCATATACACACATCCCCGTAACCCAAAACTACAAAAAGAGGTGGCGGCAACATGATACGGCGAGGACCTCGTTGGAGGGGCGATGGCTCATGACACCTGCCTTCTCCTGCTTACAATTCCAAACCATAGTCTCAATGGAGGTGTCGGCAGTACCGTGAGGCTGAGTCGCACCTGTCACTGCGATGGTCCATCCAGGCCTTGCAGCTCTGCATGGCAAACACGCAGCCCAGGCCCCTCCCCCAGCCCAGGGCTTCCGCGTGGCTGTAGTTGGCGCGATACCACCTGCTCAAGCCAGCAGGAACAGCAGAATGAGGAGACGCATTCCATGAACTCAAGAGACCGATGCATCCCATAAAACCAAGCAGTCAACCATCAACCAGTAGGTCACTGTAGCGCTGGCCCAGGTGATGAGTCTACATTCGCTTACATTGCTGTGTTCGACACAACAGCAGGCGGAGGAGCAGTACAACATTGAGCAGAGCACTCGGTGGCTTAAACACCACAATATGGCAGTGGCGCATCTGTCAGTCATCTCAGTCTGGCAACCCATAACACCCGGGCCCATCCCCGAACCTCCTTTCAGCGAGCCATTGTCATTTTACATGGCCTCAAAGTGCACCTAGCCTGGCACAAGCATCGTGGCATTGCCACCGCCACTGAGGGATGACGGTTTGCCGTTGTTGTTATTTGACGGTTGAGGTGGGGGAAGTTGGGCAGGACCTCACCCAGTATCCTCCATGAGCGCCAGCGTGAAGCGCGAGAATATGCGGCGCTGTGTGTGCGAGCCCGTCATTGCTTCATTCTGCAGACACGGCGCACACATGCACACAAAGATCCCTCATATAGCCATAACAGACTGTTGGGGCAAGTGCTGTTAGTGAGCACCTATGAAGGCCGGAACGGCACACGAGGGGGTGGGTGGCCAGCAACCACCCCTAGTCGCCTTTGTCTCCCTAGTGGCGACTCAATTGAAGCTGAGTCGACCTAGGGGAGGCCCCGAATCAGTTCAAATAATCGTCACTGGTGGTGGCCGTGAGCAGGAATCAAACTCGGGTTGCCGGGTTCGTAGTGCAGCACTAACCGCGACAAGACCTTTCCCCACATTCTGCAGATACAGCACACGTATGCACACACACACAAACACACGAGCAGACACACGTGCACATACGCACACAGATCAAATTCTGACCAATAACGTTCACCGGTGGCTTAAGGATTCTCATAACCGAATCAGTACACTCAAACTGCTTTGAGCTCGACATCATTGTAAATGTGACAGTCTAGTCGGGTGGTGGAGGGTTTATGATAATCATTTTGGCATCACACTAGCGCGTGTGACCCGACCCAAAAACAAATCATCATTATAATGCCTTTGAAAATACATTGCGCATTTCATCATACCCAAGGTCAGTCGCAAAAAAGTACAGTAAAACCTCGGATTGCGAGCATAATTCGTTCCGGAAACGTGTTTGTAATCCAAAGCACTCGTATATCAGTTGTGATCACGTGACGCTCGGCAGACAAAACGTATACACGCACTACTCGCATTGCAGGACCTCGCTCGTTTATCAAATTAATATTTATTTTAAAATGTTTGCTCGTCTTGCAAAACACTCGCAGACCAAGTTACTCGCAATCCAAGATTTTACTGTATTTCCCTCAAAGGGCAAATAAAGTAAGCACGAATATAAGAATGTGTTGTGCTTTGATATTTAATTAAAATGTGGGATGCTGCCATGGATTAATGGTTAGCACCCAAAGGTCACTGGTCATGTTTCCCAGCATGGCAGTTGAACCAGTGGTGCACGTTTCTTAAACCACCCCCCCCCCCCAAAACTGCCCACCCAGCAGTATTAATGGATACACTACAACAGGTAGTCGATTGGCAGGTCACATATGGTGGGATAAAGTGTGGGTAATCCAACCTCTTCCAAGAAGTCTGACCAGCATGGAAGAGTAGGCCAAATACCCTCTTAGAGGGGTTCTCCAGAGCCCCCTCTAGTGGAGGCCGTTCCGCCAGCAGTGACGTGAGCAAGCAATTACAAGGCTGCACCTTTAATTGAACTTTTTATTTATTTATCCTGTTGTGGAGGGTTTAATGTAGAAATCCATCAGCGAGTCTGAGTGAACGTGCGCCACTCACCTCCAGGAGCCGCTTCTCCCAGTGATTGAGCTCAGTGCCAGATCCCCCCTGGTTCTCCAGCTCCAGACCCTCGAGACTCGAGCAGCCAAAGTGCTCGCGTGCCTCCTCCTGCACCGCCAGGGACAGCGACAATGCTCCTCCTCATTTACCCATGAAAGAGTTCCCAGCCACAGCTAACATTGACGGAGAGTGATATCTGGACCGGATCGAGGCCTCTCCACCCAGACCGACCCGCACCAACCTGTGTGATGGCGTGGGTAGGCCCTTCATCTAGCAGCAGATTGATAAAGGGATGCAAAATATTTATCCAGGAAACAACCTACGATTATTGAAACTACCGGTGCGGTCCGCACCGGTAGTTTCAATAATTCATTTCTCTACCACATGTTTCTATTGACTTTGCCGCTCAAGCCTGCAAAGCTAGGTAATCCTAGGCAGTCTCCCATCAAACTATTCACAAGCTAGCGCTGCTTAGCTTTGGAGATCTAATAAGATTAGGCGCATTTAGTGTAATTTGGTTGTAGGCAGTTTCTAAGCGCCATCTTCTGTATACCGATTTGTACCAATGACTCCCAAGGCCCTAAACCACAGCAAACCCCACTCACTTTCATATAGGTGTACAATTTATCAGCTGCATTCACATCCTGCTGACTTAGATTTGCACACAAATAACTCAACACTAATTCAATTTTCTATTTGCCATGCTTAAAATGTAAGTGGTACGAGTGGATTTTTCCATGTCGGAAAAAAACAGGTGTAATGAGACAGTGGAGCGACTCCTCACCGCCACGCGAGGAGTCACGAGGAGGGTGACGAGGTGGGAGAGCTCCCCTCCTCGCACGGCCCAGCGGCGAGAGACACGCCGTGCCACGCGCTCGCTCCACTGGTACAACCCCGTCCTGCGCCAGCAGCACATGGCACACACAACCACCTACCTACCCGCCCTGAGTCACGCCACATTGTGCACCGCCATCATCATTATCTCCAACATCAGCCACGACCAATCCCCTGCCGGACCCTAATGGTTAATGCCAGGCAATGCAGATCATCATCATTATCCAACAAGATCAATGGACCCGAATTACTTCATTATCATCATCAGCAGAAGCCATGATCAATTAGTGATGGATGAAGGCACCCCTAAGCCATTGCCATCTCTTACAGTCCCGCGAAGGTGATGTGGTAATCCACCTGGTCCTTGCACAAGAGCCGATTTATCGATTTCACCGCTCCATCTCTGTGGTGGACGCGTTCTCGGGGGAGTTCTCTCCCTGGGCTGTGCTGTTAACTAGCTATCTATGAAGGACAGTGCGGTGCACATCTGCCTGGCCGCTTTTGTCTTCCCAGTACGAATGGTGAACACAACACACCAAATATTCCTGTTAGGGCCGATTTGAACGATGGCAGCCACGGCCAGGGTAGTTCAGATAGCACCTAGACACTGGTGGTGCACGCAACGGGCAGGAATAAACAGGATCGTAGCACACTGCGCAAAGCACGACACCACCGTTACCCAGCCACACAGTCAAAACACGAAAATAATCTACAACCACTTTGTTCTCCTTTAGCTCGCCAACCAAGCAATGTAGTGCTAACTACAGCAGCACTTTTAAAAAATGCAGTATTTCCTTATTTAAAGCTTTGCATATTGTAGCCACGTCATTAAAAAAAAACACACAATTTGTTTGTGATCCTTTCCAAAATAGCCATGCTGACAAAGAACTATAAAGTATTGCTATTTAATGAATACACATCGCAGGTCCATTGTAAAACCACCTCCATGATTGTTGTGTAATGAAAGTAGCGAGTACTAAGAAGTTCTGATTCAACAGCCATCATTAATGTTAAGAAGTGGACACCGATCCCCTCACAGATCTGTGCCCTGTTTACTTGAAGAGTGAAATTTCCATGATGCGGGATTGGTCGTGGTGTGGCACTCACGTATCGTTGAACGGGGGGAGGCCGTTTCCGTAACGCGGGGTCAAGGGTTGGCCGTCATCGTCCCGGTAAAACGCGAACAGCCCGGCTGAAAAGCCCTGCTCACCACACCAGCAGAAGCAAGAGGTTTTTCTTAAACAAAAACACAATACATTTACGTACAGCCATTCGCCAATCCACTGGTGGATGAAGGCCTCCTCATGCCGTGTCGGTCGTGGGGGTTGTTTGACCATGCTTCACCACTGGATAGTGCACGAACTACATCAATAAATGAAATATATTTAATTACAATTAAGAGTAGGCCATTTTGTCAATTTATAACGTAAATTCCTTGTTCAAAGTTACATGTTCCTTGCAGAGATCCGTATAAAACAGTACAAATGTAAATAAATAAATCACCATCATTTCAATGTAAGGATTTAATTCCTTTCCTCTGAAAATAAGTGGCATCTACTATAGAACACAGTAACATAAAAAAAACCTGTTAAACTGAACAACACTGATGAAAAAAACAGAATCCTGTTGACTCCTTAAAAATGTTCACGGGCAATTAAGGGTGGAATAAAATAAATGCTTTTTAATCAAACTCTTTAATAATCCACCAGGCGGTATGACCAGCATGCAAGAATAAAGATGTTTTGCTCAGCGGGAAAGGGGTTACTGTTTGGGTGCAAAATTAAATTCCCAGCATGAGCAGTGAGATTTGGTTAATACTTTCGCACAGACTGCTTACAGGGCAAGTTGCTATAACTGCTGATCCCTTCAGACCAGAAATGTGCTTCCCATAGAATCATGCAAAGAATGTGTCATGCGGCGAGTTGTGTCACCAAATGTGTGGTGCTCTATTCGCCGGATTATAATTGTAATCTTCATCATGAAGAAAATTCCAGACGTTTGGAAATTGAGCTACTGTTAGCCTCTTCGAGAAGTAGGTCTCACACCGCAAGAAACCTGGAGTGAACACATAATGCGCTGATGTATGTTGCTTTTGTATATTCCTTAAATCACCGAATTTTAGGAATACGACCGTTTTTTGCCACCTCAACTTAAATGCTATTTAAAAAGGACCATTGGCTTATTATACTTCCATTTGCTCATTACAACAAGTCAGGTGTGAGAGTGTATGCGAAGGTAGTGCATGGTAGTCATTTATCGACGGGTGCCATCTCCTATTAAAGCCCCCAAGAGAGACCCGTTCTAGGGATCCTTCTTGGCAAGAGAGCCCCCTTTCTAAGTCTTGACAGTAACGGTTGATCCGATGCAACCAGGAAGCTTAGCAACTAAACCCCCGGCTTCCTCCTCCACGCACGAGCCCAGAGAATCTGGTGGGCAGGGTCGACCATAGCGAAGTGAGAAGACGTGTACCCAAAGTTCCATAGGCAATGGAGGCAGATTTATCTTCACCCTGGGTCACACATTGTTTTTGTTTTATTGAGATTGTGCCCAAAGTGAGTTCGGTAAGTGTGGGCTCACCCAGGTGAACACTGAAGACGCGCACGCTTTGAGGGCGCGTATCATGTCTCACCAGGGCATGGATGACCTCGTGCTTGACAGTGGATAGCATGTCAGGCTGCTCACCCACGTCCAAAGACACCTTGTCCGGACAAAGGTTAGCATAGCCGGCAATCGGCCTGCAAGGTGGAGACAATGACATACTTCTCCGGAATCACGTAGTCGCCAAGAACGCCAAGGGATCAACACAGTCCAGCTATTTCCTACACTGCTCCTGAACAGGGTGGAGTGGCGGCGCAGAGATTAGTACACTGCGCGATGAACCCAGTTCTCAGAGCTTGATTCCTGGTCACGGTTAACATCAGTGGCGAGTTACATCTGAATCGCTCAGAGACCTAGTGTGCAGGTTTCCCCTGTGTGGTATCCCACTGTGCAGGTCCATCGAGATAAATTTGGTGCTCAAGGAGATAGATAATGTTGGCTGGTGGTCTCCATCCATTTCCATGTGTAATTTTTGGGGCCACCCCCCTTAGCTTGGGGCTCCGATACAGATGTACCCCTTTCCCCACCTCTCGTCAGGCCTGCCCATGGGTGCGAAACCTGTCGAGCTGAGCCTCCAACTGGCAGTATGCCGCGTAGGCCACGACACCCTCCTGCTGGCATCGGTCCGTGCCTAGTGCCGATACGTACAACACGTAGTCAGCATCGGGCTCGCCCGGCCCGCCCGCGGGGCCTATGGGCCCGCAGTTCCGGCCCCCCTCATCGCACACGTGGCATTGCTGGGGGGGACATCACAAACACAGTACGCACAGTGTGCACGGAGCACGCACACACGTGTGTGCGAGTTAGTCAAGTTGATCTAGGGAAGGCCCAAAATAAATCTCACGATTAGATTGTATCTAGTGTCCTTGCTGAGGAACCACAGAAAAGCTGGAAGGCTGCCAGGTGGTGAGCCTCCACTAGCAATTGCGAGTACCAGCACCCGGAGAAAAATCTACGCAAGCGAGAAGCCAACACTCTATCCAATACAGAAGTGACAGATATTTGTCCACACTTTGCTGTACGACATTCTCCTTGAGAGCCAGGGTACGGATATCCATAGGAAGAGAGTTTCACATCGTGTGTGTGATCCACCAACCCTCGTCTCCACAGTGTTGGATTACAGGCGTTCGCCACGACTGCCCGGCTAGGGTCATATTCCAACGTTACAAATAGATTCTGTAGAATGGATGCAAATTGCATGCAATTCATATATTAATGCCGGCGAGGGATTGGAAACGGGGTGCGATATCCCTCGCCACTGACGTTAGTTGTTGCCAGCTACCAAACTCAGACCACTAGGTCCAACGCTCAAGCACATTAACCGCATAGAATTATTCACACACTCCTCCAGCGCGCGGGGAATTTCAAGCACGGCACAAGGCTGGTGCTAGCAGGGGGTGCGACGGAGGGGCTGGGTGAGAGGAGGGAGGTACCTGCAGGTGCTCATCGGGCACCGTGACAGGGCCGCACCGTGTCGTCTCAGGCGCACGCGCTCTGGCAGTAGCGGTGGGGGTCCCGGTGCTTCATGAAGTAGTGGTTGGTGGCACAGTATCTACATGGCGGACAGAAGCGTGGTCCATTACGGGAATGCCCGCTCAAAACGGTGCAGTGCTGCATGAGCAGTGGCCGTGCGTTCACAAGTAATAGTCAAGTCTATACTTGTGAATGAAAAAAAACGCAACATTTTTAGAATTTGCGCCCAAAAAAATGCATTAATTTGACCTCATATGGCAGGATCATCCTAAAGGTCAAATCTGCTCCAAGTCTCATGCCAAGCTCTCAAACATATACAATCCCCATCATCAGTGATAACTTTCCTCCCACAGAGTATGATGCTACAGCCGACATAAAGCAGGCGAATCGCACTCCTGATTACTCATACACCGTTATGGTACCTGTTAAGGAGGATTTTGGCTCCTGGGCTCCGAACAAACAAGGCACTTTCGATGTATTCCACTGCCTGAGGGAAAAGCCGCATCTGTCGGCAGAGAAGTGTGTTTATTATACACAGAGTTTCCAGTTTTAAAAACGATTCTGTCAATGCGCTGATAAAAACACAGATTCAGTACGTACCTTTATGAAGTCTCGTTTTTCATTTGGAAGACTGGACAATCGGGGAAATAAAGTAAAGTTATTCACAGCCTTTAGCCCAGTTCACACAATCAGCAAATTAGCAGCATTTATGACCGTTACTCAAGAAGCAAACACAGCTCACACTGCACGCTACCAAGTTTACGATTCAAACAGATTTCCATCTGCAGTTGTCCAAAAACAAGAAAAACATGTCAAACACAACAGTGGGTGACCAAGCATGTGGATGAGGATTTGCAGATGTAGTCCAATAGCACCGGCTGGTGTCCAGCAGCGGCAACTGTGGTGGACAGACGGTACACACGCCGGTGAGCGTGTGCACGGGTGTGTTGGCAGGGCGGAGGAACTGGGGCAAGGGTCACGGAGGACCCCGCCTGGAAGCCCCTGGAACCTGCTAGTGGGTACGAGAAGGGATGCACAGCCGGGGCGGAGTCTGGCCGCACTGGTTGGATAAAAGGAGTTGAAAGCGGGAGCTCGAGGCTACCGGTTCTGGGATTGGATTTGTCTCGTCGTTGCTGTCGTCTCGTCGCCGTCGTCGTCGCTGCTGTCTTTGCTCGATATTGCGCTACCAGATAGTTGTTGGCAGTCTCAGTCAGTGCCCTCAGTGTTAGACGGCTAGTGTTGTGTATAGGCTAGGCGACTGTAGAGAGTGTGCAGGCGAGACCGTGAATGTTATAAATAAAAGGTGCGCCTCCTACAAACCTCGTCTCCGAATAACTGACACTACACGTATTAATGCAGTTAAATCACACGGCATCTCAAAGCAAATTAAGGAACATGTAGGAAATATTAAAATAAATATCAGGGCAAAGCTTGGGGAAGAGATGGAGGGGAAGAAAAAGGTCACGTTAGTCTTGGCCACCGGCCATCATCCCTTTTAGTGATGTGTCCCAACCAAGCCCACTTACATTTTCTTAACAGTCAATAGGATGTCTCTAACTTACATAAACAAGCCGATCCCATCGGCAGAATAGCTGCTGGGGCAATACCTGTGATACCCATAGTTATATTGCATTAGTGATTACAATCCAATGTGTGTGTTTGGCATCTATAGCATGGTACTTTTAATCTATAGCATGAACAGACACTCAAATCTCATCGGTGTATGTCTTACTATTGTACGCAAAACTAGAAATATCCGACACGGCAACTATTCCCGGTGAAGGCCGACAGCGATGAGTGCTCTAAAATGAACTTGCGTAATCGTGCCACAGGTCTCATTTGACGGGGCTAACGTCTGCTAGGCTGGCAGCGCTTGCCTGTCCACGCTAGAGTCGTAGATGAGACGGACTCTCAGATGCTGGGGCCCGGTCGACTCAGGGCTGCGACGAGACAGCTCACGCTGCCGCCCAGGCAGGGTCACCCCCCACAGCAGCTACCGCATGGGGCCAGGAGATGACCGCACGCACACACGCACGCACGCACACACACACACAAAAGTCCGTCTTACAAAGAGGCAGACTTTCTTACTCTTCATTCATTTGTTTTTGCAATTCCAAAATTTGCTCCACGACAGCGCATAATGTACATATGAACGTATTGGCAGTACACCGGTGTGCAGTGTATAAAAAAGAAAAATTTCCCCAAAAATTGTTTATTTTCCCACGATTCGCAACCCCGGTCAGAAAAATCTTGCGGGGTGCCTCAAAATCAGTTCTCATGATATCAAAGCAGTCTGAAGACGAATGTTAGGAGCAGCTGAACACGAAGCTTCACAGTCTGTTACAATGTAGCATCCAGGCCTGATGACAATTGGCTCTGTGTTCCAAATGCAGATTTGACCTGTGTCCCTAGATTTGGTCGGACAGTTTCTTGATTAATTTCTGGAATCATTTCTTGGCGGACCGTTGCATCAAAAGATAATGACTCACATCACATGTTTGAATGGGAAAGCAGCTGCTGAATCTATTGAAACTTCTGATGGAGAATCTGCAGCTCACTCAAGGGCAAAAGTGACATCGTTAGACTGTTTGATGAGGACCGGTGTGTTATGCTGCACCTGTCGCATCGTCAACACGTCCATTTACAACCCTTCAGTCATTCCGCTGCTCAGTGCTGGTTGGTGAAGGAGCGAAGAATGTTTGAGCATATTAGAGGATAGCAATGGAATGTTCTGCATTGCCTAACGTGTAGAACCGCAAGTCCAATGACAACCTGTTTACGCATCATGGCTGCACATCCAAGCACTGTTCAGGCTCAATCGTTTTTAGACCAATGGAGGCTCCCTGGGCACGACAAGGAAGATATATATGCCTTAGGTTGGAGTGACATGGCAAGCATGCACACATCTTCAATTAGCAAAATGCTCCAATGAGTGCTTTTTATCAAGGTAAAAAAGTATGTTTATATATACACGCTCTAAATGTAAAAAAAACATGTCATTGAAGATACATTTAATGACCATTATTGTATTACGGTTATTATTAGGAAAAAATAACAATAAGGTAATGTACAGCTCTTTGTCAAGCCACTGCTGAATGAAGGCTTCACCATGCCGCCGTTGGTAACGGTGGTTGTTTGACCATACTTCCCCACGTTGGTCAGTCGGGTTGGTTCACGCGTAAATCGCCACCGATTACGCCTGTACACATGTCAGTTTGTCCCTTACATCGACAAAGCTGTCAACCCATGCGGTTTACTCCTATTCTTGTACAGGAACATTGGGTTTTCAGGTCCATACGGCGTACAGCCATTTCAATACAGGCAGACTTTTTTTGTCTATTGTTTGTGTTGCTCCCTTGTGATGGGACTTTGAAGGATGAACGTTTGATGGGACTTTGTAGGATGAACGTTGAGATTTAGAAGGGTACGGGGTGACCAGTAAGGTCTGAATTGGTCTGTAATAAGGGAGGCGCTGATAAGGGGTTGACAGGTTGCAACGACTCCATTCGTTCCCCACAATTGTACATAGATTTGAATTCGTCTTGAAAAACGACTCCCAAATCTCGACTCAACAACAGCAGAGGAATGAGAATATAGTTTAGGGTTCTAGGACACCCCGTTTGATTACGATGGTGATCGTTTCGTCACGTTTTTTTAATTACCAAGTTGTATTTTGACTTATCATCAGCACCATAGAGAGGTCTCTGCTTCCATCCGGTCAGAAAATGAGGCAACTCGACTGCGTAAGAGGCAAATGAACGAATCAAGGTCTGTCACGGACTCACAGACGGCCAAATTAGATGTATTACCATTTTGATTCATTTGTTCCATGGCGTAGCACAATCTTCCTGACTTCCCCAGGTGGTGGTTACTTGGCCATACTTCACCACGTTGTTCAGTGCGGCCAATTCTCCTAAATTCGTACACAAAACGATGACCGTACATCACATGCGGTAGACACGTACACCTATTAAATTATTAATCCGCACCACCTTAATAGGTGCTCGCTAACCGCATGCCCCTCGTCCTGCACGTGCCGCAATGAAACTGCACTCGCCAACCGGCACTGCAGACCGGCGTGGTGAAGTATGGTCAAATAACCCTCCCACACACAAACACACACACACACCACTGCCTGCAACGGCGTAAAAGGTTGGGGAGGCTCTCATCCAGCAGTGGCTGTAGCACACACACAAAGGGGGCAAAGATCCCCCCCCCCCCCCACGTTATAGCCGTGACAAGACTAGGGGGCAAGTGCTGTTAGCGAGCACCTATGAAGGCCGGCACGGCGCAGGAGGGGGGGGGGGTGGCCAGCACCACGCCCGGCCGCCTTTGTCTCCCGAGTGGCGATGTTAAACACAGCGCGCCACGTACCGATTTGAGGCCGTGTCGACCTAGGCGTTGCCCAGTACCGGTTGTAACACGTACGTATCTGCAGGCACTGTTATCGCGGACTGTATTGTGTACGAGTCAATGGGGGGGGGGGGGGGGGGGGGCAAGCCGTACCTGGTCCCGGCCCGGCACCGCGTGCCTGCACACGTGGCAGCTGCCCGGGCAGATGTTGACGATGGGCAGCAGGAGCAGGACGAGGTGGAGGACGAGGGCAGCCATGGGATGATGAGGAGGAGGTGGTGGTGGTGGAGGAGGAGGAGGTGAGAGCCAGCGAACAGCAAGGGTCTGGTGGTGGTGGGTGGGTGGGGTGGGAGGAGAGGGCCTCCTTCCTCGGACATTTAAAGCAGCAAATGAAATGAATTACATCCGTTCCGCACGCTCGACGCGTTACGGCGGCTCGGAAGCGCCGCGTTTCCTACAATAGTTGTTGTTTCTGCTGCAAACGAAACGCCGCAGAGTTAAGCCGTCGACACTTGAGGTTTGGTCGGCGGGAGGGGAGGGTTGGTGGCACGGTGGTTTAGCGCGCCGCGATTCGAAATCCGATGTCGGGCACCTCGAGTTTACGATTCCAGCGCCGACGGATAACATCGAACGTGGGCGAGTGATGTGCGAACCGGTCCTGAGCCACCCTCACCTACAGGTTGGCTCAGCCTTAAATGAGTATCTGGTGCGCTGTGTAAGCACCTCCGCGCACTGAAGAGACAAAGGCGACCGGGCGTGGCGTAGTCCACGTCGGCCGCCTCGTGCACCGTTGTCGGCTTTAATAGGAGCTCGCTAACAGCGTGGGGATGACAGTGGTTGCGTGTGAAGAATTGGTGTCGTTTCGTTTATGTAGCGGACAAAGGGATTTCCCGTCCACCTCTCAACGTGGAAGACAGTGACGGCTCGGGGAAGCCTTCATCCAGCAGTGGATACATCGCAGCTATTAACGTGCACCGGGGAGCACACACATCCCACGCTCTGACATTCGGAAATCCAACGCCACCTGCTGGCTGCTTATTACGCATTACCCAGTCTCCGGGCCTAGGCGGGCTGAAAACACATTAATGCGGAGGGAGCTGGTAGGAACGTTGGGTTGCTTGGTCAATGGCCTGCAGGGTCAACGGCGGCGTGGTGTATTCCGCAAATATGGCCGACTGAGGGCGGGCACAAGCCGGCGTGAGTAGGTTAAACGTTGAGTTTTATAAGGGCACCACGGGGTGACCAGCCCCTCCCCACCCAGCCCCACCTCACCCTACCCACCCAGCCCCTCCCCACCCAGCTCCACCCCTCCCACCCCCCACCCAGCCCCTCCCCACCCAGCCCCTTCCCACCCAGCCCCACCCCTCCCAGCCCCACCCCGCCTACCCCCAACCCAGCCCCACCCTCCCCAACCAGCCCCTCCCCACCCAGCCCCTCCCCACCCAGCCCCTCCTCACCCTCCCCACCCAGCCCTTCGCCACCCTACCCTCCCCACCCAGCCCCTCCCCACCCAGCCCCTCCCCACCCAGCCCTTCGCCACCCTACCCTCCCCACCCAGCCCCACCCCTCCCATTTTTGGATGCACAACGGACGGACGGACACAATAATCCCCTGTAGGCTGGTGTAACCAGGAGGTTCTTACCAGTATAAAATGGATGTCTCAATCCGCTGCTCGTTGGATTGCAAAAAAATATTTATCATTGCAAATGAAACCTACGCGTGTGCTCATTGAATGTTTTTGGTGGAGGATGGAAAAGGACAGAGCTGCTGCCTCCGAGAGATGACACAACACGTGAATACAATGCCAGTTAGATTTGTATGCAATGTGAATTAAGATGGCGTAGAAATGCGACCACATCTCCAGCTGTACAGAAACGTCGCATGTGTTATACAGGGTGTTTCACAAATATGGACCCAATTTCAAAGCAGTATATTTCACGTTGGCAACATGTTACAATTACACAAAAAGTTACAAACGGTTTAATGAGCTATCAAGTTTTACTAACCATTTTATAAATGCTCTATGTGCCCTCCACCTGCTGTACGGACAACATCGAGACGATAGTTGAATTAGTCCCAAACGCCTCTCTTCTCACGTTTTCCTCTGAGGTTCGTGGTCACCCTGTGCTCTTCCCCTTACACAAACAGCCTGTTTCCTCAAATTGTCGGTACCAACGACGAATGCTTTTCAGAGGCGTAGCTAGGATATTTTGGTGGAGATGATGTCAGTCTCACTTTTGTGGACGTAAATAATAACAAAAAATCGTCCAAACGCAAAGATATCTCACGACGACTTACACAACAGTCAGCGGTGGAAGAGTGAGTGGCGTTGTCTCTGCTGTAGGCAATGCATGGAATTGCAAGTACGGTAGTAGTAGTATTTGATGTTTAATAGTGTTAGGTAAATACATACAGCAAGTTAAGAAAGTTAATGTAAATTGGCAATACTGCTGCATATTTATCCAAGAAAGCCTCGTTGAGTCTCATGACTCTTTTTCAAGAAGATCCTGCACTGAACATTTCCATTCCTGTCTGAAGCGTTTTGCTTAGCGGGGGAGGAAACCAGCCAGGAGTAGAGTACCAGAGAAAACTCACCCATACATGCGAGGGAGTAACACTCAAAGCGCCGCACACATAGATTCAAGAATCCATTTGTGCCCAGTAATCCCACCTCCTGGCCACCTCACGATCCAAGGACACACCACTTCTAGTACTCCAAGGCAAGTTTTCAATCCAAGTAATAACCAGGCTCAAATCTGTTTAATATCCATCGTGTCGGTTTTTTTCCTTGTCAATTTTTGTAAATCGTCTTGGGACACGATTGTGTTTAGAGCTTTCGAAATTATATACAGAGTACATTTTATTTGTTGTCGTTTTAAATACTGTACAAGATCGGGCACATTCAGAGCGATTTGGTTTCAAAACTTTGAGGTCGGTATTTTCATTGGAAGGTAGGGGGCGTCCGAAGACAGCATTCGCGTCCGCGTCTTATTAGTGTCGCACGTGTGGACGGGGGGGAGGGGACTCTCCTTCAATAAACATCTCACACGACGCGGTGCCACGCTGCTGCTGCTGTATTCCTGGCACCAGCTGTCCACCAACTCGCGAATTGAACAATCAACACATTTCCCACCCGCCCCCCCCACACACACGTGTTCGCTAATTTGTAAACACGCAACAAGGGACCGTTTGGTTGTCTTTTTTTATTTTATGCCCTGGTTGATGGACTGTAATTCTATTTTCTGTTGTAATCTTTGAAAAGTCTTACTCAAATGCAACTTCGTCAATACGGTTTTCAGACTTGCTGTGATTATCTTTGAAGAGGACTGTGTACACTTGCCTGGCACCTATATTGGATGCCACTTTTGTATCGCTTTGTTTAAATCGGACAAACATTATATGCCTCGAGTTCCCTGGCTGGCTGCTGGCTGGGCTCCTCTCCACCCAACAATAGCTCTTATTGGCTGCGGGCCGTTGCCACTGAAACTGAGTAACTGGCTACACGAGATTTTTCCGTGTAACAAATACATATTGTATGAGATTGAAACGGCGAAAGAAGTTCGGAAGACATCTAATAGTTACCAACACCGAAGAAGTGAGAGTACGAATACAAAAGACTTACTCGGTTAATTAAAAAATTCTCAAACTCTTCAACTAGTGCTCAGATTAAAGTAATTATTTCACTAGTATATTCTTTAAATCCTAGATAATCTAAAAAAATATCAAAATAATTTTATAACATTAAATAATAGATTACTTTTGGTGCTCCGAGTATAACGGTCTAATTTTTCGTTGCAGAGCAATGGGATATCTACTCAGTTTTTAAAAAGTATGCTTAGAGCAACTCAGGACTTAGGCTGACACCGCCCTATCGGTACATAACAATCAAATTCTGGTTCATGTTTTTGTGGGGGGAAATTGTTGTTAATTGTTGTATTTCTAAGCACAGACTCGACTAATTGCGTGCTAAATTTCAGGTTTCTATCCCTTTTAGAACATCATTAGAATGGACATCAGTCAGTGCCTAAACATTTTGCATTGAGGGCTGTATTGACCAATTTGTAGAAAGCCGTATATGTGCCAGGTACATATACGATACAAGTTATCAACAAAGGGTGTGTATCGTATTAATTGCTTATGTGGCAGATGCTATATTGGACAGATGGGACGTAATAGCGTAAGATTGAAAGAACACCAAGAAATATTGAATACCCTCAAACACAACTGTCGGCAGTTGCAGAACATCCTTGCCAACAAGGACACTCAATTGAATTTGATAACGTTGAAGTGTTGTGTAAAACTAAATATTATAGGAATACCTTGCACTTTCGTCTGGTTAGGGACCAGAGCATGGACGAATATCAAAGCAGAGCCTTTATTTAGCCTTGCTCATTAAGTTTGATTATGTCAAGCTTTTCTTGCAAATTGAGAATCTTACAGGTTATTTTAGCTTTACTATCACCACACTTAGGACCCATTATGAATGTGTAATGAGATAGTGACATCTACTGGTTGGAAAAGGGAAGCACGGGTACAGGCATTACTATAAACATTATCCAATCCCCAAAGGGAGAGATATCTGGGCCAAAGGTGAAGGGCGGGGACCGGCCGAGAAACTCCGAGAACCAGCTAGAAAGTTCCACGAGAGGGCATGGCCGGAGGCGGAGCCTAGCCGCACCTGCGGCAATGTAAGCGGAGGCGGACTCAGGACTGGGGTGTGGAGTCTTGAGTCCAGACTGCGTTTCTGCTCACCGTCATCTCTCTCCATTGTTTGGTGGCGGATCTCCTGCGGAGCTCCACCGCCCTCCCCGGCACACAGTCAGCCAGCGGTGAGACCGGGAGCGGACGGGCGGAACCCACCTTGTGATCAACCATGTATGTAGTCTGTAGAACGTAATATCTAAGCATGTACTTGGAGAGGAAGCCGATAACGTTGGCCTGTGCTGTGCCCGTACGTGGAATAAAGAAGAGTACCCTCTACTCGACGTTTCGTGGAAGTCGCTCATTACAAATTATTTAAAGCACAACATTTTTACAGTAGTCACAAAAATAAGCACAGTATGAATACTGTTCACGTGTTTTATTCTCACGAAAATTAACTAACAACACTAGTATTATACTGTTATCATAAAAATAACTATTAATTGTTTACACTATAATCACATAAATAAGTACAGTATTAATATACGAATAAACACAAATATAAGAGATGCTCGCTGAACGACTTTTATTCAAAGACTGAACGAAAAAGATGGTACGTGGCGTGAACGTCGTGAAAGGTTAGATGAAATGGGACGAAAGCACGTGGATGAAATTTGAAATGTGGTTATAATTGAAAACGGCCGAAAGAGCGAAGCCACGAAAGTCAAGTGGACAAGAGTCAAGGTATCACTGTACTGGCCAAGACTAATTCTAGAACCCATTGAAATCAACAGAAATACAAATGTAGGACT